GATGGGGCACTATTCCTCCCCCCACTGACACCAACGATGGGGCACTATTCCTCCCCCACTGACACCAACAATGGGGCACTATTCCTCCCCCCACGATGACACCAACAATGGGGCACTATTCCTCCCCCCACTGACACCAACAATGGGGCACTATTCCTCCCCCCACTGACACCAACGATGGGGCACTATTCCTCCCACTGATTACCAACGATGGGGCACTATTCCTCCGACTGACACCAACGATGGGGCACTATTCCTTCCACTAATACCAACGATGGGGCACTATTCCTCCCACTGACACCAACGATGGGGCACTATTCCTCCCACTGACACCAACGATGGGGCACTATTCCTCCCACTGACACCAACGATGGGGCACTATTCCTCCCACTGACACCAACGATGGGGCACTATTCCTCCCACTGACACCAACGATGGGGCACTATTCCTCCCACTGACACCAACGATGGGCAACTATTCCTCCCACTGACACCAACGATGGGGCACTATTCCTCCCACTGACACCAACGATGGGGGCACTATTCCTCCCACTGACACCAACGATGGGGCACTATTCCTCCCACTGACACCAACGATGGGGCACTATTCCTCCCACTGACACCAACGATGGGGCACTATTCCTCCCACTGACACCAACGATGGGGCACTATTCCTCCCACTGACACCAACGATTGGGGCACTATTCCTCCCACTGACACCAACGATGGGGGCACTATTCCTCCCACTGACACCAACGATGGGGCACTATTCCTCCCACTGACACCAACGATGGGCACTATTCCTCCCACTGACACCAACGATGGGGCACTATTCCTCCCACTGACACCAACGATGGGGCACTATTCCTCCCACTGACACCAACGATGGGGCACTATTTCCCCACTGACACCAACGATGGGGCACTATTCCTCCCACTGACACCAACGATGGGGCACTATTCCTCCCACTGACACCAACGATGGGGCACTATTCCTCCCACTGACACCAACGATGGGGCACTATTCCTCCCACTGACACCAATGTTGGGGCACTATTCCTCCCACTGACACCAATGTTGGGGCACTATTGCTCCCCTGATACCAATGATGGGGCACTATTCCTCCCACTGACACCAATGTTGGGGCACTATTGCCCCCCTGATACCAATGATGGGGCACTATTCCTCCCACTGACACCAACGATGGGGCACTATTCCTCCCCACTGACACCAACGATGGGGGCACTATTTACTCCCCACTGATACCAACGATGGGGCACTATACTTTCCCACTGACACCAACGATGGGGCACTATTCCTCCCCCACTGACACCAACGATGGGGCACTATTCCTCCCCCCCACTGACACCAACGATGGGGCACTATTCCTCCCCCCACTGACACCAACGATGGGGCACTATTCCTCCCCCACTGACACCAACGATGGGGCACTATTCCTCCCCCCACTGACACCAACGATGGGGCACTATTCCTCCCCCCACTGACACCAACGATGGGGCACTATTCCTCCCCCCACTGACACCAACGATGGGGCACTATTCCTCCCCCCACTGATACCAACGATGGGGCACTATACTTCCCCATGACACCCCACACTCCCACTGATACCAACGATGGGGCACTATTACTTCCCACTGACACCAACGATGGGGCACTATTCCTCCCACTGACACCAATGATGGGGCACTATTCCTCCCACTGACACCAATGATGGGGCACTATTCCCTCCACTGACACCAATGTGGGGGCACTATTCCTCCCACTGACACCAGTGTTGGGGCACTATTCCTCCCCCCACTGACACCAACGATGGGGCACTATTCCTCCCCCCACTGACACCAACGATGGGGCACTATTCCTCACCCCACTGACACCAACGATGGGGCACTATTCCTCCCCCACTGACACCAACGATGGGGCACTATTCCTCCCCCCACTGACACCAACGATGGGGCACTATTCCTCCCCCCCCACTGACACCAACGTTGGGGCACTATTCCCCCCCACTGACACCAAAGATGGGGCACTATTCCTCCCCCCACTGACACCAACGATGGGGCACTATTCCTACCCCACTGACACCAACGATGGGGCACTAATTCCCCCCCACTCACCACTGACACCAATTGGGCACTATTCCTCCCCCACTGACACCAACGATGGGGCACTTTTCCTCCCCCCACTGACACCAACGATGGGGCACTATTCCCCCCACTGACACCAACGATGGGGCACTATTCCCCCCACTGACACCAACGATGGGGCACTATTCCTCCCCCCACTGACACCAACGATGGGGCACTATTCCTCCCCCCCACTGATACCAACGATGGGGCACTATTCCTCCGACTGACCCCAACGATGGGGCACTATTCCTCCCGACTGACACCAACGATGGGGCACTATTCCTCCCACTGCACCAACGATGGGCACTATTCCTCCCCACTGACACCAACGATGGGGCACTATTCCTCCCCCCACTGACACCAACGATGGGGCACTATTCCTCCCCCACTGACACCAACGATGGGGCACTATTCCTCCCACTGACACCAACGATGGGGCACACTATTCCCCCCCACTGACACCAACGATGGGGCACTATTCCCCCACTGACACCAACGATGGGGCACTATTCCTCCCACTGACACCAACGATGGGGCACTATTCCCCCCACTGACACCAACGATGGGGCACTATTCCTCCCACTGACTGACACCAACGATGGGGCACTATTCCTCCCACTGACACAACGATGGGGCACTATTCCTCCCACTGGACACCAACGATGGGCACTATTCCTCCCACTGACACCAACGATGGGGCACTATTCCTCCCACTGACACCAACGATGGGGCACTATTCCTCCCACTGACACCAACGATGGGGCACTATTCCTCCCCCCACTGACACCAACGATGGGGCACTATTCCTCCCCCCACTGACACCAACGATGGGGCACTATTTCCCCCCACTGACACCAACGATGGGGCACTATTCCTCCCACTGACACCAACGATGGGGCACTATTCCTCCACTGACACAACGATGGGGCACTATTCCCCCCCACTGACACCAACGATGGGGCACTATTCCCTCCCACTGACACCAACGATGGGCACTATTCTCCCACTGACACCAACGATGGGGCACTATTCCCCCACTGACACCAACGATGGGGCACTATTCCTCCCCCCACTGACACCAACGATGGGGCACTATTCCTCCCACTGACACCACGATGGGGCACTATTCCCACTGACACCAACGATGGGGCACTATTCCTCCCACTGACACCAACGATGGGGCACTATTCCTCCCATGACACCAACGATGGGGCACTATTCCTCCCACTGACACCAACGATGGGGCACTATTCCTCCCACTGACACCAACGATGGGGCACTATTCCTCCCACTGACACCAACGATGGGGCACTATTCCTCCCACTGACACCAACGATGGGGCACTATTCCTCCCACTGACACCAACGGGGCACTATTCCTCCCCACTGACACCAACGATGGGGCACTATTCTCCCACTGACACCAACGATGGGGCACTATTCCTCCCACTGACACCAACGATGGGGCACTATTCCCCCCACTGACACCAACGATGGGGCACTATTCCTCCCACTGACACCAACGATGGGGCACTATTCCTCCCACTGACACCAACGATGGGGCACTATTCCTCCACTGACACCAACGATGGGGCACTATTCCTCCCACTGACACCAACGATGGGGCACTATTCCTCCCACTGACACCAACGATGGGGCACTATTCCTCCCACTGACACCAACGATGGGGCACTATTCCTCCCACTGACACCAACGATGGGGCACTATTCCTCCCACTGACACCAACGATGGGGCACTATTCCTCCCACTGACACCAACGATGGGGCACTATTCCTCCCACTGACACCAACGATGGGGCACTATTCCTCCCACTGACACCAACGATGGGGCACTATTCCTCCCACTGACACGCGATGGGGCACTATTCCTCCCACTGACACCAACGATGGGGCACTATTCCTCCCACTGACACCAGCGATGGGGCACTATTCCTCCCACTGACACCAGCGATGGGGCACTATTCCTCCCACTGACACCAGCGATGGGGCACTATTCCTCCCACTGACACCAGCGATGGGGCACTATTCCTCCCACTGACACCAGCGATGGGGCACTATTCCTCCCACTGACACCAGCGATGGGGCACTATTCCTCCCACTGACACCAATGACGTGGCACTACTCCTCCCACTGCAAAATTACAGTTATGAAGTAGCAACGAAAATAATTTTATGGTTGGGGGTCACCACAACATGAGGAACTGTATTAAGGGGTCGCGGCATTAGAAAGGTTGAGAACCACTGCTATAGAAGGATATGCTTTGTTCATTTTTTATGTTTGAGGTTTACAGCCACTTTAATTAAAGTTGTGGCAGCCTAAAATGATTTAGAAAGGCCGCTGTCCTTTCTTAAATAAGATTTATAGGCAGTTTCAACTGGATTTTAATTGCAACCATGACTAAACCAAAGAAGGCACCTGACCACCGATGATATTGTTTATTTCATGGTTTCAGTAGTTGTGATTTGTTAGTGGCAGGTTGTATTGATCCAATTGCTTTCCTTTTGTCTTGAAAAGCTGGTGTTTAAAATTATATGAAAATTGCCTTTGGTGTGGCCTGTGTAATTCTGTATAGCTTCTATTCACATTAATAACAAGTTTAGATATAACATTTGCTCCAAAACTCATTCCTCACATTTCGTATATGCTGTTATATCTGTTAAGTGCATCAGTCAGGATGGACATTTATTCACATTGACTGGGGATCTAGTGCTAGAATAGAGAAATGCTAACTAAAAAACAAGGTGTTATCATGGAGGCTATATATATTTTTACTCATCAGTAGGATAGTCAGTTGAGAGTGCTTCTTTTTATGTATTTTTATTTATTTATTTTATAGATCCTTATTGAATTTTGTGCAGGAGGAGCAGTAGACGCGGTCATGCTAGGTAAGTCATGCATTTTTTTCAAGATTCAAGGCTTCTGAAAACATATCCAAATACAAAGCTTTACCAGATAGATGTATTACAAAACAAGGAATTTACCATTTACTTTATGTGTGTGTTTTGATCCCATATATAGTGCTAGTTGATAGGGGCTCAGTTAGCGCTGCTTATCGAGAGAAATGCTAAGGTGTCATGCACACAGGACATTTTTCTAGCTCTTCGAAGCCTTTCCTCCTGACAACAGTGTTTTGGCAAAAAAAAAAAAAAAAACGCCTGACGCTTGTAAAAGTGTGTAACGCATTTAAGTGCGTTCAACCACATCCAGTGTTTGAAATTATTTATTCTGGCCAATGAAATGAATTAACAGCCAACCATTGAAATAGATTAACTCTCAAGCGCTAAACGCACCTAACGCCTTTTTCCTACCTCTGAACGCATATGCCTCTAAACACCTCTAAAAGTTTGTGTGTATGGACACATAGGCTAACATGCAGGAGTGTTTAGTGGCAGGACAAGAAAACACCATATGCCCCCAAAAGCAACTGTAAAAACAACAGTAAAAACTAGAAAAGGTACAATTTCTGGGGAAATTGTGTGAAGTAGTGTTGCATCCAACACTAACCAAGTGATTGATCAAATGTAAACAGTGCACATGGCAAGCATGAAGAAATGCATTTCAACTTTTATTTTGCAGATCACACTGTAGCTTTGTTCACTCTACTTCCTGGTGACTCACCTTCGGTTGCTATGGCAACTCACTCAGTCAGAGCAAGCTGAGAGGAGCTTTTATAAACTCACTGCTCCAACATGCTAACTTCACTGGCAGTTGCCATCTTCAAACGTTTGTAGTTTTAAAATTATAAATCCTACAGCAAAGAGCTTTATATTGTGAGAATCACAAGACCCAGACCTACATTTTGATGCATAGTATGTCTCTGAAATATTAAAAATGAAGGCACAGTCACAATTTAGAAATTGCCCTTCAAATTTCAGGTGTCTAGAGTGGAGTTTCAATGAATGTCAATGGGCGCTGTGAGTTGCAAACAAAAGGTCATATATTGTGAAAACTATCAGGACTGTAGCTTAGCCGTGGACATTTTTAGTGGCAGCAGGGATTGCTGAACGTTTTGATATAAGATTTGTGTAGGTGGGCTTGAAAATGAGGGAGTGATGGCAGTTTAGAAATCATGTCCTGATTTTTCAGCTCACACTCTAGCTTTTGTCAGCTCCCACTCTAGTTTTGAGCATTCTGCCATTCATTCCTATGGGACCAATTTCACCACAAAAACGCTGATATTTCTTGAACCATTCCGCGAAATGTTCCACAAAGGAATAGCACACCAATCGGGAACAATCCGCACGGTTTGATATATTACTGTCTATGTAGTGTAAAAACTGTGGGAGGAGTTAGGGTGGTAAATTTGGCTATAATAATAAGAACTAGAAAAGGTACAATTTCTGGGGAAATTGTGTGAAGTGTTCTTGCATCCAACCCTAACCAAGTGATTGATCAAATGTAAACAGTACACATGGCAAGCATGAAGAAATGCATTTCATCTTCCGTTGCTATGGCAACTCACTCAGTCAGAGCAAGCTGAGAGGAACTTTTATAAACACATTGCTCCAACTTGCTAACTTCACTGGCAGTTGATTGTAGTTTTAAAAGTATAAATCCTACAGCAAAGAGCTTTATATTGTGAGAATCACAATACCCAGACCTACATTTTGATGCATAGTATGTCTCAGGGTTAGCTGAACATTTTGATATAAGATATGTGTAGGTGGGCTTGAAAATGACAGAGTGATGACAGTTTAGAAATCATGTCCTGATTTTTCCTTCCACACTCTAGCTTTGTCAGCTCCCACTCTAGTTGTTCCATATTCCTATGGGAAAATTTCATTCCTATGGGAAAATTTCACCACAAAAACCACGATATTTTGTGAACCATTCGGCGAAACGTTCCACAAAGTTATAGCAATCCGATCGGGAACAATCCGTACGTTTTGATATATTACTTGTCTTTGTAGTGTAAAAATTGTGGGAGGAGTTAGCGCTGGCAAATTTTGATAGAATAAGAATATATTTGTGAGATAACAATAAGTGTTCTTGCAAGAACACTTAAAAAAATGAATAAACATGTCATACTTACCTGCTCTGTGCAGTGATTTTGCACAGAGCAACCCAATTTTCCCCTTCTCAGGTCCCCCACCCACAATGCATTAAGGTGAAAAAAAATCTTCTGCCTTTAGAACCATGTTAAAAGCTTTCTATAGGACATTTTGTAAGGTGTCAGGAGGAATGTTAGCAACAGGGGCAATGTTGTTAATGCAGAGAGCATTGGGCAGGACTAGATGTGGTCATCTGCTACTTGATAAGCTATGGAATCCAAGCATTTAATAGTTACAAATCCAAGCTTCGTATTCACCATTAAAATATTGATGGATCATTACTGTGATTTCTGTTTTCAGAGCTAGAACGTCCATTGACAGAACCTCAGATCCGGGTAGTGTGTAAGCAGACATTAGAGGCGCTGATTTATTTACATGAAGCTAAAATTATTCACCGGGATCTAAAGGCTGGAAACATTCTGCTCACTCTTGATGGTGATGTGAAGCTGGGTAAGTGGTTAGTTTAAAGTACATTTAATGCTGTCTGGTCTCTGTAGGTTGCTCTCTACATCAACTTAAATAAATGTATATAAACAGTACTGGAGAATATGAAGGTTCAAGTCTGCAAAACTATTTATAGAAATATGCCTCTGACTGCGTTTAATGCTTGTTCTAGCCAATCAAGACTAACATGACAACACACATGCAGATTATTTTTAGAAAAAATATTTTTGTTTAGACTTGCTTCTAGTAGCACCCATTCACACCATAAAGAGCTGTTATGGCACGGTTGATGTGTGTTATGTTAAGGCAACTCATTCATTTGAATGGGCTGCTAAATGCACTGCAACAGATCTAAACTTGCACCAACTGCATTTTGCTTTTTCACTCAGCAGACTGCAATCCTCACTAATTTGTTGCAGTGCACTGCAACACAGATGTATTGAGATACCATTTAAAATGCATGGCTCTGCAGTGCACCAACACATATATCTTGCTTTAGCATGCCTTGCGGTACCATGCATGTTATAACAACGCAATGATGTGCACAGGCCCCTGCGTCTATTACCTTTTGTACCACCTCCCCCTCCCTTTAGATTGTAAGCTCAATGAGCAGGGCCCTCCTGTTCCTTCTGTATTGAACTGTGTTGTAATTGTACTGCCCCCCTTATATTGTAAAGTGCTTTGTAAACTGTTGGTGCTATATAAATCCTGTATAATAATTCGACTTGTTTCTGGTCTACAGACACGGATCTCATTTGGTAGTTGAGCAGAAGTTGCAATAGTTTGAAAGGCCCCATTAGCACCTGTATACACTCCTGTTTCTCACCGTATGCGCAAATGGCATGTGCCCAGGCCAACCACTGCTTTGACCATCACGGTGGATGGTGAAATAAGCTATGTAGCTGAACACTCACTCCAGAGACAGAGATATCTCCAGGGCTAAATCTATTTGCAGATTAGTGACAGCCTGGGAACCCTATGAATTTTCTAGCAGGAAGTTCCTTGTGTGTAGGAAAATCCTTCGTTTTTATTCTGTATTGTCTTCAGTTCTGGTTAACCATTTAAACCTTTCCATCTCTATGAGGAAAAGGTTGTTATTAGCACTTTTCTTTAATGTAAGCCATGCCTGCTGTGTGATTAAAGAACTACTCTAGCCTAAACAAAAACATTTTTGTATAAACTATTGATGATTTGGCTTAGATTCTGAAGTTCAGAAGGCTACTTATATGCAAACTAACTAATAGCAGTGACCAGTCTTTATTACAGAAAACTCCTGCACAAGGCCACGTTTCATGCTGGATCACCACCCAATTCTGAAAGAAATATCAAGGTTCAAAGAAGAATACACATGGCCCTTGTATTATTGTCTGTTTATGCCTTATTGCAGGCTGCCATTATGCACACTTCAGTAGGCAGCCTATTCAAAATGAATGAGCTGCAATGCACCACAACACAAAAAGGAACAGGTGCATTGCTGCATTTGTATGGTGCATTGTAGTTTATTGAATGGTACAGCATAGCATGTCACCATGTTTTGTGGTAGCGCTGGTGTTTCTGCAATAGGTCTGTGTAAACTGGCCCATAGACTATAGTTTTTTGATCAGATTTCAGCTTTTATACAACAGACATTATGGTCCTTTTAATACGTGTGATTTTTTTTAGGAATCTGAAGAAAAGTGGACTGGTCAGTGTCATCCAGAGTACACAGAGTTTCTTTAGTTTTCTTATTTCTGAGCCTTCTTAGACTTTTAAGGGCTATTTCCCAAAGATAGGATTTCTGAAATCCATTAAGGCTTGGTGCACATCTGTGCGGGTGGTGCCTCTGCAGATTAGCACAAAAATCTGTGCAGCCGTACCACCTGCACAGAGAAATGTGGACTTGTGGGCGGGTGCCATTACTTCTAATGGCATGCCACCGCACTGGAAACCGCAACCATACTGGGAACCGAGGTTCCCGTGCAGGCTGCGTTATCAGGAGAAGTGCAGGGACTTCTTCCCTGCGTGTCACGAGGCACGGGAGTCCCATTCAAATGAATGGGCACTTGTGCCCACGCAAAACGCAGCCCGCACGGCCGCATATATGTGAACCAGGACTAAATTTGTGTGTGTCCATCCGTCCGTCCAGTAAAGTACAAGCAGTAGGCATTTTACATGAAGTGTATGAGTTTTATCAACTTTGTAATAAATAGTGTGTGTATATAGGGATACAGTTATTTGTTTCTGCTGGAAGATGTTTTCCTTGCAGAAAATGAGGAAGATTTCTTAGAGAATGGTAACGGAAAATTTTCTTTGCTGTGGTTTTGCTAAGACATGTAGCTTCTCATGTATACATGTAATGAGTAGTCAGTTATTGCAGTCTGAAATTAAGTGTGGTGGATGAAATATGTAATTAAGTATTATAAAGTTCTGACAGTGTTTGTCTTTACCTAAAGCATAATAACAAGTTTTTGTATGTTTATTTTTTTATACTTGAAGCTGATTTTGGAGTGTCTGCTAAGAACACTAGGACGTTACAGAGGAGAGACTCATTCATTGGTACCCCTTACTGGTATGAACCTTTTTTTTTTTTTTTTTTTTTTTTTTTACTCAAACTTAAATACAGGTTTCTTTGATGGGGGTTCAGTTAGTCTTGACTTGGAGCTCTTGGTCTTGGGTCTGAATTCCAATTGACATTGTCTGCAAGGGCTTTGTTTATTATTTTTGTGTTATTAATATACAGGGCTTGTGCACTGATAATGCTTTACAAAATAAAGGGAGACCGTAAAGGTACAAGACTGGGTTAGGAGTGCTCTGCACATGAGAGCTTACAATCTAAAGCCAGCCATACATGGATTGAAATTTGGCCTGTTCAGCAGGGACTGGATACATTTCAATCCAGGTATGGGTAGTGAGGCTGCACAGAAGTCGATTTACCGATTTGACTTCTGTACAACCACCCTGTTTGATTTTTCCCTGCTCAATCAGCGCTGAAGGCTATAGTCTGCAGTATAGATCAGTGTATTCTGAAGGCAAGTAAGTCTCTTCATTGTCAGAATACAAAACCTCAGCAGGGAGGATTCCACCATGCCCATTGAGTGTATGGATGGGGCAGTTGAGTGTTTTTTTTTTTTTTTCTCCTTTTCAACATGGTGGTGGAGCCACAGAAACGTGCACATCAGTGTTCTGCCTAAAAGGAGGTGGCACGAGTTTCCTTTTGGTGCTCCAGTTTCTTCCCATAAACCCAACGTTACACTAAAAGCTCCACAGGATAGGCACTGATAATAAATGATCTATGAAACTGTAAAGGGCTGCATCATAAGTTCTTCAATGATCATTTATGTGTTGAGCATGCTGCTGGGTCATTCATGTTCATTCCCTTTTCACCAAATTTTGGCTGGTCTATGACCAGCTTGACACTGAGTAGGTTTGTAGTACTCTAGTGACACTTGTGTTATTAGAGTTTTGGAATATGGAAGCTAGAAATGACATACCTTTGGTTTGGGTTTTGATTTTAGGATTATGGAGATAGGCAGATCACCATGCTTTAACATACATTCAGCTTGCATGTGAGTTGCTTCTTTTTTACTTTTTCCTAAAGGTGCTTTAAAGATGAACTCTGGCAGATATTCAAAACTAAAGATTAATGCAACTCTATATACTCAAAAATACATCTTTAACCACTTGCCCTCCAGAGGATTTACCCTCCTTCATGACCAGGGCATTTTTTTTTTGCTGTTCGGCACTGCGCTATTTCAACTGGTAATTGCGAGGTCGTGCAGTGCTGTAACCACACAAAATTTATGTCCTTTTTGCACACAAATAGAGCTTTCTTTTGGTTGTATTTGATCACATCTGCGGTTTTATAAACAAAAAAAAAGACAAACTTTTGAAAAACAAAAAACTATATTTTTCACTTTTGGTTATCAAAAATATCCAATAAAACTCAGTCATACATTTAGGCCAAAATGTATTCTCTAGATGTCTTTGGTAAAAAAAAAAAATCTCAATACGTGTATATTAATTGGTTTGTGTGAAAGTTATAGCTTCTACAAACCATGGTGTGTGTGTGTATATGTGTGTATATGTGTGTGTGTATATGTGTGTGTGTGTGTGTGTATATATATATATATATATATATATATATATATATATATATATTGGAATTTATGTAGCTTTTACTTTCTGACTGCCTATCACATTTCTTGAGGTGCTAAAATGCTAGGGCAGTACAACCCCCCCCCCCCCCCCCCCCCACAAATGACCCCTTTTTGGAAAGTAGACACCCCAAGGATTTTGCAGAGAGTCATGTTGAGTCCATGGAACATTTTATTTTTTGCCACACATTTTTTTAAAATTACATTTTTTTTTTATATACAAAGTTGTCACTTTAATGATATATTGCTCTTGTATGCCATGGGTATATGTGGAATAATGCCCCAAAACACATTCTTCTACTTCTCCTCTCGAGTATGGGGATACCACATGTGAGAGACTTTTTGGCAGCCTAGCTACATACAGGCCACCAAAATCCAATAACCACCTTCAGGCTTTCAAAGGGCATGTTTCCTCATATCACTTCCCCACTACAGTTTTGGAGGCCGTAAAATGCCAACATAGTACAAACGCCCCCCCTTCCCAAATGACGCCTTTTTGAAAAGTAGACACCCCAAGGAATTTGATAAGAGACATGGTGAGTATTTTACAGATACTATTTTTGTCAAAGGGTTTTGAAAAAAAAATACATTTTAGTTTTCTTTCTTTGTTTTCCAAAAACATGTGGCAGCAAATGAGATCTGCAAAATACTCACCATGCCTCCTAGCAAATACCTTGGAGTATCTACTTTTCACAAAGGGGCCATTTGGAGAGGTTGCTTCTACTATCCTGGCATTTCAGGGCCAACATTAGAAGCTTATGCCATGCATCACCCACTCTTGAAGACCAAGCCTTTTCTGACACTTTTTGTTCACATGAAAAAAACTGTTTTTTTTGCTAGAAAATTACTTTGAACCCCCAAACATTATATATTTTTTTTTAAAGCAGAGGCCCTAGAGAATACAATGGAGGGTGTTGAAATTTTTTACGTCACAAAAGATTTTCAAACCCAAATCTTTTAAGAAAAATACACTTTTTAGAATTTTAATGCACAAAAACACAATATATTGCCCAATTGTTTGATAACAAATAAAAGATGATGTTACGCCAAGTACATAGATACCAAACATGACATGCTTTAAAACTGTGCATGCCCATGCAATGGCAACAAAGTACATACATTTTATTATCGATAGGTGACGTTTTAAAAGCCTTTACAGGTCACCAATTTATATTTACACTAGGGATGCACCGAAAAGTCGGCCACCAAAACATATCGGCAGAAAATAGCTCTGTCGGAATTTTGCCGAAAGGAAAAATTTTGCAGATACAGTGGACTGTGTGTACTGCAGATGTGAGAGGGGGGCGGTGGAGAAAGGCAGTAGAGGAGCAGTGTATACAGTGAATGACTGTCACTATATGTCAGTGCCGGTTTTTAAGTGCAATTGCTGTTTTTTTTTTTTTCTTCACTATAGCTCAGAGAATCAGCTGTCACTTTCCCTGAGGTAAAAGAAACAAAGTTTTTTTAGTTTCTTTCCCTAGCTAAAAAGAAACAAAGCTCTGGGGAAAGTGACAGCTATGGTGAAGAGAAAAAAAAGTCAGCAATTGCATTTAAAAACTGGCATATAGTGACAGCCAGTGAGGGAGTCTTTCTGTACACACTGCTACCTCATGTGTATACACTGCTCCTCTCCTGCCCCCTCCTTGCACACAATGCCCCCCCCCCCCACACAAAGTGGACCTGTCACTTATATGCTATCACATAACGGACTGTTGGTCCTGTATGTGATAGCAATAAAATCAAAAGTTAAAAAGAATAAATAAAAATATACATGAAAGTAGAAAAAAATACAAACAATTTGGTCCCTCTCCACCCCCACATACGCAGACATTTCAGTTTCAGTTCAGTTTTCGGCCAAATGTATTCTGAATTTTCTGTATCTTATTTTGGCACCAGAAATTTTCATTTCGGTGCACCGCTAATTTACTCAGGAGGCCTGCCCTTGATATGACGTTCATGGCGATACCGCACATGCATGGTGCAACCGCTGTTTACATACCGGCACGGGGTGAATGCTTGCGCATGCAGGTGCACGTGCGCAGGGGGTAAGGGTGCTTTTTTTTTTTTTCTTCCTTTTTTTTTTTCTATTCTTTTTACACTCTTTTTTTTTTTTTTTTTTTTTTTTAAAGCACTTTTATTGCTATCACAGGGAATGTAAATATCCCATCTGACTGCAATAGGCATTGACAGGTGTTTGTTTTTGAGAAATCTGGGGTCTGTTAGACTCTAGATATCTCCCTGCCCTTACATCATCTGATCTCACCAAGGTCGGTGTGATCAGATGCTTTCCCAATTTACAAATGGCATCGTTTATATCCTGCGAAACTGAAATAATGAAATGCTTGTAGCTTCTGATTTCTTAGACTATAGAGATGTTTGGAGCCATTCTGGTCTCTGATCAGCTCTATGGTCAGGCAGCGGATCTGCCGACTGTATTCTGAGATTCCCCTGAGGGACATCCCGCTGCTCGTAAAAACAATTCAGTAGCTAATTGGCCACTAGGATTGCTTTTACTTGAAAACCAACCGCCAGCTGAAAAAAAACATTACCAGTATGATGCCTGCAGCTGCAGGCATCATCCCAGTATAACCACTCAAAGTCCAGCGACATACCAGTATATTGCTGGTCCATTTTGGGCAGATATGTAACCGCAGACAACATAGGCATATGATGAATTGGGTCTGTGGAGCAATATGACCGCAATTCATTCTTTTTTGTGATGTCCATGTTGAGGGTTAGGCCCAAAAACGTTTTAAATTCAGAAATCGTGATAGGTTTCCAAGCGAATTGCCTGGCAAGAGCTGAATTTGGGTGGGCGGCTATGTATTGTTGTGCGTATAAATTGCTTTGGCCCATAATCAGTTGGTACAAATCTTCCGTGAAAAATAACAGAAGGGCTAAACGCTAGTACTGGCAGCGAACGGGGCTGATCCTGCTAACACTGCATTTTTGGGGACAATATACTAAGCAGGCCCTAGTATAGTTCTTTGTACGATCATTACATTGATCTGTACAAACACTATACTAGTAATGGGGGTGATCAGCGACCTATAGCATGAGTGTGATAGTGTGCGGGCAATCTAACTCTAGCTGACCCTGGCTGGGTGGGGCGCTTACTGACCCTGACGCTATCTGATCTCACTAGTGTAAGGAATGCAGTGATCAGTGAAAATTTTTATATACTGACACTGTACTAATGGCACTGGCTGGGTGATGGGGCAATCAAAGGGTTAATAGGGTCGATCAAAGGGTTAAATGTGCTAATCTAACGTGTGTGTGTGTATAAAATATAGTGCTTATACTCCGTGCCGTGTTCTCTCTTCTCTCCCTGGACCGTCCAGGAGGGCAGCTGGGGGCGCAGGTTCAAACCCCAAACTAGGAATCGACGCATGGTTATGTCACTTTGCCAAGAGCTGCTGCTCGCCCGCATAATGTGGTTAAGCGGTTGGCAAGTATTTAAAAAAAAAAAAAATTCTCAATATGGTATTTTTTATTATTTTTTTCTTTAACATTTTTATTATATGTATTCTTTTATCAGAATAGTACAATGTTACCATAGTAACATTGTACTACTGTGTGTGTGTTTGTGTGATCAAGGATTTTTTTACACTTTGCTTTGCAGGAGAAATAAAGATCATTTCTCCTGCAATGCAAAGCTTGCTGTCATGAACCTAACTCATTCATGAACTGTCATGAATGAGTTAGATTTTTGACAGCTCAAGATAGTGATCTGTGATTGGCTGAAGCTGGTCATATGGTACAGGGTGCTGTGATTGGCCCCATGTATCATGTGACAGTTGTGGGACAATCACAGCTCACTAGGAGAAGAAGCAGAGCTGTTATGAATGAGATTGATTCATAACAGCTTTTCCTGCATTGTGGTCACAAAGCGATCACACGATCAACGGGTCCCGTTCACCGGGATCTTTATTCCGCTGTGTCGCAGCAGTCGCGGGGGAGGTGTTGGGTTGCTCTGCACATGTGATAGTACAGCCAGAGCGCCGTACGGGTACTTCGCTTTGCCTGTAGCTGCCGCCTGGCCGCAGTACATGGCGGGCAGGTGTGAAGTGGTTAAATGTATTTTCTTAAATGCAATTGTGGTTTTCTTCATATCGGCCTCTTTCAATAAACTCTACAGCAAAAATACAACTGGGACGGGAAAAGCAGCACAGGGAACCAGTTGTGCTGCAGGGCTCATGTGCTAACAAGGGGCATGCAGGAAAGAACGGAGATAAGCTCATTAGGCTGCTGCTTCTCGTTTACATTCCAGTGTTAAGCTGGGGGCAGAAACAAGACCTGTATGTGTTAGAGAAAGGTCAGGTCTTCAGACAGAATTTCAAATCATTTGACAGGTAAAAACTCTTCCATAGATGTATATTATCTGTGCTCTTAGCGGGTTGTTTGGAGTTTAGCTTTATGCTGAGTTTTACATTCCAGTTGACTTTTGTTTGCAGAGAAAATTAGGTGAATGTTCATGCTTTTGTGTTTCTGAGTGTTGGTATGCTTCACATCTCTCTCCTCTTTTTCATTTTAGGATGGCACCAGAGGTAGTGATGTGTGAAACTTCCAAGGATAGACCCTATGATTTTAAAGCTGATGTTTGGTCTCTTGGCGTCACCTTAATAGAGATGGCTCAGATTGAGCCACCTCACCATGAATTAAATCCAATGAGAGTGTTGCTAAAGATTGCAAAATCTGAGCCTCCTACATTAGCTCAACCTTCTAGATGGTAAGATTTATTTTTTTTAACAGTCACTTCTCACATTCCACATTTGTATTTTTTTTACCAGATACTGTAATTTTCAACTAATTATATTGCTCATCTACTTTCTCACTGCTCAGTATCATCCAATAGAAATTGATGTTTATTGACCAGCATGTGACATAGTGACTAATGGAAAAGCTGTAGCAAAAACATATTTGTTACATATAGCTGACAGGTGGTGGCATTCATTCTCTCATGTGTAATTTTCATGTGTAATAAAAGAAACATTTGCACACATTTACTGTGAGAAAGCCTGTACAGAACGACAAGGGGTTGAAAGGATTTCCAGTGTTTTTCCTTTAAAGTGATATTAAAGGCTGATTTTTTTTTTTTTAAAACAGATACATCATACTTACCTGCACTTTGCAGTGGTTTTGAACAGAGCAGCTCCGATCCTCCTGTTCTTGTGTCCCCTGCCCATCCTCCTGCCCCCATAGCATGCAGCTTGCTATGGGGACACCCAAGCAGGCTCGCTCTCAAGCCGCTGCTCTGTCTTTCCATTCAGACAGAGTGTGGTTTGGCCCTGCCCCCGCTCTCTCCTCATTGGCTACCGCTGCTGTCTCAGCCAATGAGGAGGGAGGGACCTGGAGAGCTGTTGCTCTTGTGCACATCACTGGATCGCGATGGGGCTCAGGTAAGTATTAGGGGAGGCTAGAGAGAGCAGCACACAGGAGGTTTCTTACTTTCATGTATACATTGTATGAAGGTAAAAAAAACTTGAGCCTTTACAGCTACTTTAACATAAACCTATACTGAAATGTCAGCGTAAAGTTTTATCTTGCTAGGAAAGCCGAATAAAAAGTAATAAAAAGGCTAAAATACATACTTTTCCAGGAGACAATAAGGCATCCCAATGCTAGTCCTGTGACCATGTGGTCTTTGCTGGAGATGAGGAAGCTACTAAGCCACTTTGATCACTTTTACTGTGCCGGGAATTGCCTCCTGTAAAAAAAGCAAAAGGTACTGGAATCATGTTTGTAGCCTCAAGCATGATCCCAGTATAACCACCTCAACACAAAGCCGTGTGTGAATATATATATATATATATATATATATATATATATATGTGTATATATATATATATATATATATATATATATATGTATATATATATATACAGTGGTATTGAGATGGTTAAAGAGACTTTGAATCTGACCTTTCTGGTAGATGACATGTTTGAACTCCTGTGCAAGTGTGAATAGCGTCTGGCAAAAGTGTTGACATGTGAGTGTGCATTATGCCTGGTCCACTAATGCACTTAGTAGCTCCTCCAGGCAGCCCCTACAGTACTACTGTGTCCTGTAGTAACGTAGAAGTCAGATGGGAGGAATCTTAACAGGTAGCAGTAGGCCATGCATTTGACACACCTGGAATTGGCGACTGCTGAAGACCCTGCCAGGACTATATTGCTTTACACAGAGAAGTGCAAACTTGCTGTCTTTCAGGGAGCTTTTTGTCTCAGGAAAAATTCTTAGGAATACATTTTTAAGAAGCGACAGACACTTTGAGGGTCCATACAGGGAGTTTTGCTTTTTTTTCTCCTGCCTGTAGAAGCAGCTCAGTCTTCTCCTGTGTCCATGCATATAGGGCATTTAGAGGAACATTTCAAGAGGAGGGTTTGGACTAGTGTGTCTTCAAAAGTAATTTTAGGCGCAAAAAAAAAAAAAAATCATAAATGCGGTGTTTAGGAGCATTTAACATTTTCAAGTGTACATTGAAAAAATTAGCAGAGGGGAAGGCTTTTGGGGGAAAAAAAAGCTTATAAAAGCAAATGCCCACAAACTCTAAACTCTTGCGCCATACGAGCATTTATATGTTGCTTTTTCTGCCAGAGGTTCTGGCATTTGTTCTGCTCCTAGTCTGCACGGACCTTAAATGGTAATGAAATAAATCATGGATAAGAATATAAATCTGTTACTTATTTCTTGTTTTAGGTCAAAGGATTTTAGTGACTTTTTAAGGAAATGCTTAGAGAAAAATATTGATAACCGCTGGAATACTGCTCAGTTGCTACAGGTAACGGAAAATACAGGCACTTTATATAGCAAGGGTTTTATACTTTGCATGTTAATGAGCAAAATTTGGATGCTTTTGTCTTTAGCACCCATTTGTGTCTGTGGTTCACTCCAACAAGCCCGTACGAGAGCTGATTGCGGAAGCCAAGGCCGAGGTTTTGGAGGAAATGGAAGACGCTAAAGAAGAGGAGGAGGAGGAGGAGGCAGAGTCCTCTTTGGTTAGTGTTTTTGTTTTTTCTAAGATTTGAGGTTTTATGATAGTATTGCTTGCAAATTGTATGCATTCTGTACAGCTTAAAGTGGTTGTAAACCCTTAGATATACCCAGTGAAGTGACTGGCCTCAGGTGATACACAGAGATGAAACAAATCTTCCTACATAAGTTGGACCTGTTTATCTGCAACCCTGTCTTCTCCACAGCCATTTAAATACAGAATTTACATATCATTTCTGAACTTCTGGAAGCAGGGGGCGGGGATCTGATGTCACGCACTGTTTATCTGCAGTCTTCTTCTTTTCTCTACATCCATTCAAAGTACAGATGGTATACAGCTTCTCTAAGCTTCCAGAAAAAAGGGGGCAGAGAGCTGAAGTTACATTCTGCAGAGCTCAGTAAGGAGAGCTCTGAGAGCTGATTGGAGGAAAGAGACATACCACCCTCCACACAGTTCACTGGAACAGAGCTGGGGCTGTCAATCTGCTGAAGGTCCCTTCCCTGTAGCCTTTTTTTCTCTTGCTGTCAGAAAAAACTTGTCAGAAGTGACTCTTGCTGATAGCAGAGGAATGAAGCAGCAGACAGAAATGTCGCTGCTCTTAATTGAGACAAGTACCCATTATAGAGGGACATGTTTTGTTCATATTTCATGTCTTTTGTGTAGTATGAATGGGGCTTATAGTAGATAAAGACTTTGTGTTGTGTTTATAGATAAAGAAATTGTACTATACAAGTAGATGTTTACTCAAATGGAAAATTGTAACTGTTGCTAAAACACTGGAATAATGTTCCTGATTCAGGTCAACAAAAAGTAGAAAATGAAAAGGGAATAAAATGTTTCCATGTCAGATTTTTTTTTTTTAAACTGATAAAGTATATCTAATGCAGCAAAAAAAATGTTTTCTTTTCTTTTTTTAGACTGTGGAAGAGTAGAGCCTCTGTCAGGCTTTGTATTGCTTTGTTCCACTGGAGGGATTTGCTGTTCTTTATGTACCCTAGTGACCATTGGAACCAGGACTGAAAATACAGTAAATCTAAAAGATTAGTCTGTCACCAGGAACATTTTTGCAACAGGGCAAGTTGTTCTGGTGACGACAGTGCAAGAGGACATTTCCCTTATTTTATGCAGATTTCCTGCTGTGTCTCGAGGACAAGAAGGCAAAAACAAAAAACTGACAGGGTTTTGAATCATTCCATACTCTGTCCAGAACAAATAAAAATATAGACTTTAGATATACGTTAATATTAATTTGTGTATGTTGCTCAACACTTTTCAGCTTTTTTTAATGTTTTTTTTTTTTTTTTTTTAGCCTGTTCCAGACAGTAAACGGGCTTCTTCAGACCTTAGCATAGCTAGCTTGGAAGATGATAAACTTTCCCAGAATGCTTCAACTCTTGAACCTGTTTCTGAAAAACCTACGGCTGCTGAGGATGAAGATAAATCCCTAAATCAGGATAACATATCAGATGCTGCTAAAGTGAGAACGGAGGAAACTCCTGATGTTCAGAAGCCCGCCACTCCAGAGGTCACCAGGAAAGAAAATGAAATGCCAGATGCTGAGAAGACTGCCATACCTGTGAAAGAGGACAATGTAAAGGAAAAGAATGATGAAGTTGGTGTGGCAGTTTCTCTTTCAGGTGCTGACAGCCTACCAGAAAAGGCAGACGTGCCCTCACATCCAGTAGTGGTTGAAGAAAAGAAAGATCAGCCTACAACTGCAGAGTCTGAGATCAGACCACCTGTTCCCATATCTGAAGAGGGAGAAATTACGAATGAGAAAGAAGCAGATAATGTAAAATCAGACATAATATGTGTGCCAAATAATGAGAATGTTCCTGAAACAACAGATCAGTTTCCTGAGGTGGATCTTCCAGAGGAGCAGAAACCTGAACCTCATGTTGAGGAAAATGGTGGTACAAGAGAAGTATCTGTTGATGAAATGTTTGATCTGACAGCAAGCACTAATGATGAAATTAAAGAAATAACTGCTGTACCTAACGTTGATGATATAAAAGAGGTAGTTGAAATAGGTTCTAAAACAAAATCTGAGACTGCCGAGGGCTCACCTGAGCATGACAGAGGCCTAGAAATAAAAGAAGGTCCATCTAATATAAACATTGATTCAAAGAATCAGGATGACCTAAAAATAGAAGATGCAAATGAAGTAAATCATGTAAATGGTGATGGCGAACTTGCACCATCGTTCCCTAATAAAACAGATGACCAAACAGAAGACCCAAGCAGAGATCCTGATGATGGTACAAAGGATCTTTCAAGTGAAAATGTATCTTCAGCTCCACAGTCTGATAAAGAGTCCATCCAAAGTCTTCCTCAGGATGATGCTGTGAATTCCAATGATAATGCTGTTGCCCCAGTGGATGATTCCCAAGTTGGTGTACCTAGTATTAGTGTCATTGCTGCTGAAGAAGAAAAGAAAGAAAAAACAGAAGAGTCTCAGTCAAGAGAAGCAGAAAATCAAAAGGAAATTGATTCTGATTCTGGAATGGGATCAACTGCTGATAGCGGCAGCATGGACTTGAATTTGTCTATATCAAGTTTCTTAACTAAGAGTAAAGAATCAGGGTCAATATCTATACAGGTAAGAAAATAGAGCATTTAACTGAGGGGTTTCGTTGAACGCTCTTCAAAGTGTTTGTATTGGGGAAGAGTGTCCACCAATAATGTTAAGTTACATAAAATGTTATATTTACAGTGTAATGCTAGTTTTTTTTCCCTGCTCCCACCCATCTCTTCTTCCAGGTTGAATGATGGGTCAGAGTCTTTCAGTCCCTTCCTGTGAGCCCAGGCTGTCATAGACACACAGTCTGGGGATTCGTCTTGAGGCTGGTCTAGGCTCACAGTAGTCCTGCATTGAAAGATGCTCACACAGTGGGGAAGGTTAGAGCCTCTGTCAGGTTTGCATTGGTTTCTGTTTCCCTGAGCAGAGCATTCATGTTAACCTTGTCTTGGGAGAAGAAGTGAGCAAATGAGCTGAAAACTTCTCAAAATGGTTTTGTCTGTGTGTGCGCTTCACTATGTCTTTTATCTCATTGTATGTCTACAGACCAGGCTAAGAAGGCTATGCCCAAAGATTTTTTTCAAATAAATGTTCTAGCCAGGATATTCAATTTGTTTGCTTAGAAAACGGTACATTGTTCATTTAGACTGACCAGAGATTATGCAGGTTTCTTTCCTTCAATTCAGCCATCAACACAGTCAGTGTTGATGGGGTAATCCCACTACGGTACTGTATTCTGACAGCGAGAGGTTTCTCAGTCATCAGAATACAATAACAGGCTGGTTATACTGAAGTTGATTGATATATTGACTTTAGTACAACCAGCCTACCCATATATGGATCAAAATTTGTCTGCGTCCTGCTGAACTGACAGAATTTCAGTCCATCTATGGCTGGCCTTAGACTGCTATCAAAATCTTTGGAACAGTAAATGTTATTTTTTACATCTCTCATAATCTGAGATGAAGGCATTTGAATTGGTATGTACTTGAAATCCTTAAAGCTCTTAAAGTATTTTGTAATACTTTCCTCACATGTGATTTCATTCTCAAGGATACAAAAAGACAGAAGAAAACTCTGAAGAAGACTAGAAAGTTCATTGTTGATGGAGTAGAAGTGAGTGTCACAACCTCCAAGATTGTGACTGATAATGACTCCAAGAGCGAGGAGATGAGATTCCTCAGGTTTGTTACCTTTGTGTCTGTCAAGGTGAAATTAAGTTTAGTATGAATAATGTATTGAGTTGCTTCCATGTGATTGGCTGATTAGCAATTTGTGTTACCAAGCAATTGAACATGTGTACCTAATAAAGTGGCCAGTGAGTGTAAATGTTTGCTTTTGCGTTTAGTGCCACTTTCAGTCAAGAAATGAGTGCAGCTATATATTATTTTCTGGCAGGAGAATAGGTTAAATACCATTTACTGGAAGAAGAGGATGAACTCTAAACATTTAAACAGTTCAGATACAGGGGTTGAAAGCGGAAATGATGTAATATTTTTTTTTTTTTTGCTTCCGCTGTGTGACAAGACACCTAGCTAACAGGTGGGAAACCTCACTTTTGTCATTCACTGTGTGCGCTGCTAGGGATTTTGACCCGGAATAAGATGATTTCTGCAAATGATACTTGCAGAGCTCAATCTCAGTCTTCACGGGACCGAGATTGAGTTCTGCGGTCACTTTTGCAGCAGTTGTTTTCTTATTCAGGGTCACAATCATGCCCAGTGTCCTTTTGTCTTTTTTGGTTAGTTGACCAAGTGGACCGAGCTTATGCTTATCAGACGATGGTTTCCTGGAAACTATATGTGCCATCATAACCTTTGATACGTAACTTCGAAAAAAACTGAAAATAAATTGCCAACTTCAATCACAGTGGCACCACTTAAGCGGGCATCAACAGTTTGCCCTCTTTGAAGGGCAGTAAGTTCTGACATGACTCCGTACTGCTAGCAGCGCACGCAGTGAATAGTGAAAGAGAGACCTTCCCACCTGTTGGCTAGGTGTCTCATTACACAGCAGAAGCAAGCGAAAGTTACATCACTTCCGCTTTCTATGTGAAACGTCATCACTTTCACACCTGGAAATCATGTAGTGTTTTTTTTTCTAGCCCCTGTACATTATTAAAGTATAAGTTCACTTTGGGAACATGTTGCATGTATCATCCATTTTTTAGGGTGGAATTTGAAACATCTTCTCGATTCACCTGCTCCCTGTGACAACAGGATGGAGATCTTCTCCTCTCACCCGCTGTCACTATTTGAAAAGCGCACGGCCATGCAGGGCTGTGTTGAGCGCTCTAGGTAGTTAATTGATTCTTCCTGTCACTGTGTAACTTCTTGCTAGTATGAAGTACGAGCAGACAGCTTACACTGACAGTCTGCTGGAGTCCTGCTTTATCCCCCCCTCCCCCGATCTGCGGATCGTGGGTGCAGAGCTTTCCAGCCTCCTACAAAAAAATAGTAAAGGCACATTCTTTTTTTACCTGCAAACAAATGTACATTTATTATTTTTGTAATAGGTGAACGTATGCTTTAAGAAGAGAATGTGTGTTGTAATGTAAGATGTGGCATTACTTAAGTTTAAACAAAAACTAAAAAAGCGGTATGTTCAGTCTTTGACTCACCAGGTCCACGAAAGCCTGTATGAAAATAAATATGAAAGTTGCTGACATCTTTGTTAAAAATGCTAGTTTTCTGGCTGTGCCTTGCTTCAGTGTTTTTAGACCTGCTTACTTACCTGCCCCGTTTGCTACAACTCGTGAAGGAGCATTGCCAGCTGTTGGGCTTCACATCAATTTGCATTTTGGGTTTGTTAGCCTTGTGCTCCGTCTGAAATCTAGAAGGCCAAAGTACTCCTTTTTGTCAAAGGACCACTGGAGAGCTTCACAGCATGAATGGCCCTGCTAATAATAGTCATGCTACTGCCCATTAAAGCTGTCAGCATCCAGATTAAACCACGGGAACTGCACCACTACATCAAAGTAGGGATTCTTTTGTTCTGATGTGAAGTACAGAGACGTTTTGTTAAATGCAGCCTACTGATTTTATTGGATTTAACACGTTGATCAAATGTAGTGATTATTGGCCTTTAAACCGTCTTCGAACAGGAGAGACAAATCACAGAACAGCTAGTGAAATTGTACAATATACATCTTTGTCTTTGAAAGAGTCTGTTTCCTGAGTTAACAAGCAATGAATCACTGCTTTATTTTTCTCAAGGCGACAAGAACTGCGGGAGCTTCGGCTGTTACAGAAAGAAGAACAGAGAGCACAACAAATCCTTAGTAATAAATTGTTGCAACAGAGAGAACAGATCTTCCGACGTTTTGAACAGGAAATGACGGTGAATAACCACTTCTCTAAGACTTTGTAGAAAATAATTCACATAAAACTGCTGAATATGAATAACTAAATTCTGAAGAAACCTATAAGAAAGACTTTAGAGGAAGGAAAATAATATAAAATATAAAGTATTCTTATTGCTCTCGGGATGAATATAGCTGTAAGAACAGATTTATGGCAGTGTTATTTATATAATATCTATTGCTGTGTGTGCATGACTATCATTTACAAATGCTGTATCTGTTTTCATTCTGGTAAAGCTAATTTCTAGGAAATACTTTGAAGGGGGGGTAGGTAAGTAGCCTGGGGAGTAGCTTTAAATGATCCAACATTTACTTTGATTCTTTCATTAGTCATTGGAAACAATAGGGTGAATTTTTTCCTCCTTGTCCCATGTTCTTTCTCAAGGTGTTTTTTACAGACTATATTAAACTGGAACTGGTACAGTCCACAATGGAACTTTCCTTGTCCTGCCATTTCTGATGTAGGGTATTCCTCTGTTTCTTGGCTTGTGGCAGTCCAATGATGACTTCAGTGGCGCAGGAAAGGATTCATGGTCAGGAGTTCTTGCAGCATCTCTACCTCCGCATTAACTGACCTAATATTACAGATCCAATCCTGGCATCTAATAGATCCTGGAAATGTAAGCGCAGGGCTGCAATTTCACTGTAAAGGATAAGTTCACCTTTGGAACATGTTATTTGTTCCACCCACATAGCTCTTATCTTCTTAAACCAATGAAATCCCCCCCTCCCTGTGACAGCAGGCGCGGGATCCGCTCCCAGCACCCACTGTAAGAATTTAGAAACAACACGACCTTGTGGGGCTCCACCCACATGGCCATGTCATTCAGTCACTTTTCTGCCATTTGGTAATTGCCTGCTTGTATGAGGTATGGGACAGGCAGACAGCTGTAGTGTCTGCAGGAGCCTAGCATTGCACTCTTTATCTGCTGAGCGTGGGTGCAATGTCTTACAGGATGCAGAGTAAAACAAAAATAAATGCATTTTTTTTTTACCTGCAAAAGGATGTGCATTTATTATTTTTTTGTAAAAGGTGAGCTTCGCCTTTAAGGGATATTTCAAGAAGAATGGAAAAAAGGACCTGGGAATGATGTGCCAAATACATGGGAAAATGTGTATGTGACTAGATTTGAAGACTGCTTTTCACAAAACTGTTTTCTTCTAAATTTTGTAGAATAAAAATTAAATCTGAGATCTTTAAACATTTGCTATTGCCCCATCAGATGAGAGCAAATTTAACATGTAAATGACTATAGTACATCCTACAATTTATTTTTTGTAGCTTGGTCTAAATTAAATGTATCCTGTTTCTCTCAGCAAATACAAGATGAGTGAGGCAGAACATTTACACAAAACAAATATTAATACAGAACTGTATTTCCAGTGATTTCAACTTTAGATTCATACTGGCTATCAGTAGGGAAACCAGTATGACTTCATATGAAAGCAACATATACACTGTAATGGCCCAAAAAGTGATGAACAAGTAGCTGTTGAGCTCTTAATGCACACTCTGGGGCTCAGTTATGAAACAACCAGAAGAGGATTGTGCAGTAACATGACCTGCTTCCCCACTAATCACCGAATGTTTTTTTTGTAGTATTATGCAACACTTTAAGGGTTCATACGCACTGGGTATAAAAAGTGCTGCTTATACAGACTTTGGCTTTTTTTTTTTTTACTTCAGCCTGTATAAGCAGCTCTATGTTAGTCTATTTGTTCATGCACATTACGGAATTTACAGGCATATTTGCAGAGATGTGTTTCAGGCAGAAAAAAAAACATCAGACCCACAGTTTTGAGAGGAGCTTTCAGGGCCAATTCACACCACATGCAGTCCAGTGCGTTTTTTTCCTGCATCAAAAATGCATTGATAGGTTACATGGTTTCCAGTGGCATAGTTCACACCGGTGTGGTCAGTTTCAGTGCGTTTCCATTTCCAGTATAAAAAGTAGAACATGCTGCATTTTTTCTGCATTGAACTGTACTGGAAGGCAGCAAAATGCATCAAAAATGCACCGGAAAGCACGTCCTTATTTAAGTTGAAGAAAAAGAGGGGAGAAAATGAACCAGAAGGTATCAAAAATGCTCCAGAACATGTCAAAATCATGCATACAGAAACATATCCGGACTGCATTTCTATGATGGGAACCAACCCTCAAGCAGAAAAAATGCTTTACGCACATAAACGCTCATACACAGCGTCTAGGAGTTTTTTTAGTATTTTCAAGTGTACATTGATTATACTGAAAAAATAGCAGAAGGGAATGTTTTGCGGGAAAAATCTTCTAAAAGCAAATGTCCAGAGACTTTCATAAATTCTTATGCCATATGAGCCACTATGAGCTTTTTTATGCTGTTCTTTCTGCCAGAGGTTCTGGCATTTTTTCAGCCACCTAGTTTGCATGGACCCTAAAGGACACCACAGGCACCACACTGACCTGCGTTTTATGAATTGTAAAAGGCAAGCACAGGGATGATGGTGTGGTGGTGGTGGGGGGGGGGGGTTACCCACTTACCCACTGTTTGTAATAAATAAGCCCCTCTGAGGTAGCATAGCATAATAATTGATGCTTTGCTATTCAGTAAATGTGATTCTTTTACAAAAAAAAAAAATGAGGAAATGTTTTGGGTTTTTTTAGGGCAAGAAGCGTCAGTATGATCAGGACATAGAGAACCTGGAGAAACAGCAGAAACAGACTATAGAACGGCTTGAGCAAGAACACACCACTCGTCTAAGAGATGAAGCAAAACGAATCAAGGGAGAACAGGAAAGAGAGTTCTCCAAATTCCAAAGTGTACTGAAAAATAAAAAGAAAGAGGTAAGGCTGTTCTGGCATAATGGACAGAATATTTAATTTGTTCTTTCAACTTTTGTAATTGTCACCATGAAATTTGAATCAGTTAAACTGCTCTGCTCAGATTACTCAGCTCCAGTGTAGATTTTTCTCTTCTGGTGACTGGAGAAGTTTGTTCATGTTTTGGGCTTCATATGAGAGCTGACAACAGTAGTATGTATCGCCAAACCTAGCTGATTTCACAGCGAGACATAACTGGTACCAAGAGCAGATGTGCTGAGATCCCTAACAAGCAATCAGATATCTGTTTTCAGTATTCTGAGTAGAAGATCATGATGGCGGCTAATCCATGGTTTATATTGGTTACTCTACATTCTTGCTAAATGTTAATTAAGCTTGTAAGGGTTTTATTGAGAGAGAACATTTTGTATATTAAAACAAATATTTAAAATAAAAATGTTATGAGTACCTATAATGTTCAGAAGGGTTTGGTCTATCAGGGTCAGTCCACCCAAAACTAGCCAGATGTTGAGTTATATCACGACGCATTATTATTTTGGCATTTGGCTGCCCAGGTCTACTTATCTGTTGTGGCTCCCCCAAGACTTCCAATGTGGGTACTAAGCCCTTTAGACTACACCTGTAACTGAAGTTTAAACTTTAGTTTGATTTATTGTTTAAACAATAAATTCAATTTTCAAATGTTTCTTCTCAGTTACTCAGCTAAAGAAAAATTGCTGCCTGCCTATTCAAAATATGTTTGATGTGTGTTAACAATTTTAGCTTTAATAGGAATTGTTATGCTGCTTAGCCAGCCCAATAATTTAGACACCCCTGGTATATATAGAAGCACCACTATTGCCTACCCTAGCTTTCCAGTTGCCTAATATACCCCCACATTTATTAGGCACAGGAGATAATACTGACTTGTTTTAGTGGGGTGCAGAAGTAACACTAAATCTTTAAGTTAGACTAGGTTATAAGTTGGTCCCCTGCCCAGAAATATGGCAATAAAATGTGGTGTAAGTCTCAAGGCTGGCTATATTTACAAATCTTTTGGCATGTAAAACAATTTACTTATCCAACCCTTTTATATAGCAATTGGTACTGTTCATATTTGCATGAAAATTGAGGGGCCTTCTTAGGCCCCTTTTATTTAAAGCAGTCCGGATCAGATTCGAGGTAGGCGGGTGTAAACGGATGTAAGTCTGTTTACACCAAATGGTCTGTAGGGCTGAATGGGAGGGTCTGATCAGGTCTGCAAAAAAATTTTTTTGTGAAAGGGGCCTTGGCTCATTCTTCTAATGAGGAAGCTTAGAATATCTGTGCGGTGAAGGCAATAGAGCAGATTTTGTAAGGAAGGCTGAGCGATTATTGTAATGATAAATGCCATAAGTATTGTTTAAATAAGGTATTTAAATACAATATTTGGGCATTTACCATTTTTATATTAACAGCCCTGGAACAATGTTACTATTTTATATACAGTTTTTTTCATACTTATTTTGTTATATAGTTTCAATATAACTATATATAAACTGTTGTTTGTTTATATTGTGTAATAACACAACATTTTCTTCTTCCTCTCCACTTTGTGAGCTGCATTTTGAGTACTTTTTTTCCCCTTGACTTGGTGGTTGGGCCTGAAATACTGATATCGTTTCACACACGCAGGTGATGTTATGTTCCATGGTCAGTGGTCTCTTTATACTGATCATTCCTAAGTCCCCTAGTGCACAAGTTTAACAGATCAAAGTGCACATTGAAAAGCAGTTTATAGGTACAAGTTGGCCTAGTGTTTTACCTTCACTGTTATTTATTTTATCAGACCTATATAATATAGTTTAGAGCAAAGCAAAATGTACAAAGGACATATTCCAGTAGCAAGCAGAAGTCATCTTCTACTGTTCTAATGTAACTTGATTCTGATTGGTTACTACCAGTAGTACATTCTTCTTGCTTATAGTGATGTTTTAGTGAATACATCTGTATGTATATTATGTTTAAACCTCACATAGTTTTTCCTATGCTGGCTCTAGCAATTTCCATTTGGGATAATTTTACAGTTGCTGAATAGTAAAGAAATAGAAGGAGTTGCCATGGCTGACTTGTTTTAAAAGCTTCAGGGCTTTGATTATTTTCCTGGCTTCCCTTTCAAGTGATCCTGGATCCAGCATGCAGAACAGGTTGCAAGAATTTTAAGACTTTAATGTCTACTTGCTATATTCCAGATCAGTGACTGGCTAGAGATATCACCAGGTCAGGATAACATTCTTGGAGCCTACACCTTTAAAAACATCTTCACAATGGCAGCTTTAAAACTGCTGTCCTCACAGGTTTGCTTTAAAAAAGACTCTGCCATCTTGTAACAAAAATTTAAAAAAGACTGTATGGAACAGAAGTCTTTTTAATACTTACCCGTGCCCTTGCCCCCTCCTCCATTCTCCTCTGTATTCAAGCATTACTGCTGAATAATTTTCTGCTTCCAACACCTTTGGGAGTATCAGATGCCTGGCCATCCTCTGCACCTTATGGTTCCTCTTGCAGTCCCCAACATCATGACAAGTCAGAAAAGTGATGTAGGGGCCAGCAGAAGAAACGGCAAACACAACAGGGCACAAAGCATCTGCTTTTAGGAAGTGTTGGGTGCAGAAGATTATTCGTACAGAAAATGCCAAAGAGAATGGTGGTATAAGTAGCGGCACTGGTATGTATTAAAAAAACCTCTTTTGCATACAGTTTTTTAAAGTGATTTTATTTAGTTTTACTTTTCTTAGCTGGCAACAGAGTCACATTAAGGTCTATGTCTATCTTAAAAAATAATAAAATATAAAACCTTGAGTTTATAAACCTACAGGCTTTCTTGACGCACCTTGTTGTGCATTAATCATTTAGCAAGTCATGCATTTAAATCCTCCCTCATTATATATTTCAGTGAATATGTTGATTTTGGATGGCCATAACACAGATAATTGTTCAGACAATGTAGTTAGAATGTGAGCCTACATAGGCTGAATGGGCTAGTATGTGAAGGTGAAAGATTTTAGTATGTCCAAATGTTATACGTAGTTCATTTTTGTGCGGATTGCATCACTAGTGTTAAACTTTGTGCACACAGGTATATTTCTATTTTTTACTAACTAAACCTATCTCGGTCAATAGAATTTTCTTTTATTATACGATGTAGAGAGCTTTTTTTTTTTCTCCTCAACGTTCTGCAGCTTTGCTCTGAGTTCTTTCTTGGTATATGGGTTTCTTCACATCACAAACCTCACATGCACAAACTGACCCTACATTACCACTATTCTGGACACTCAAACCAACAGTTATGAGATTTTACAAACATATAAAATGTATACTTTTACCATTAATGGGACCCACATCCAAGTCTGTTATTGTAGAACTGTACAACAGCACTGCTGTAGGTTAAGCAGACCTCCATGTGACTTTCAGTTTAGAATGTACTGATATTTTTGCAGTGCTGAATTGGCTATATGATTATACCAATATACGTTCGTAATATTTTGATTGCATTTTAAAGCTAGTAAGGAAAAGCATAACCATATTTAATATTTTTTTATTTATTTAACCATGGACAAAACCATTATTTTTGTATTAGTTCTTATTAGTGCGGCTTGATGAGTAGCACAGAGGTACTTTATATCTAGACATTCTGTTTCAACATATTTAAGATATAAATGACCATACTGTGTCATTGTGATCAACTTCTAGCTAATGAGCCAGTCCACAGAAAACTGTTATTTTAGTTGTAGGGTAATTTGGAGCTGAAGCTTGGTTCATAGCTGCAGTTGATTGCTCCCTTCCCCCACTCCCCACCATGGTGCCTGACTCCTATTGTCTCATAGAGCATCTCATTCCTGCCACAGCATTCTTCATAATGTCAAAAGAATGAATAGGATGTCAGGAATAGGAGCCTATCCCCCAGTGATGGCACCTGCAGCTGGAAACTATTAGTGGCAAGATCTTTTAGCTAAAGTCTTTTCACTCTTAATTGCACAAAACGAGAGGATGATTCAGTTCACCAGCATTTATCCACTTGTGAGATGTCATTTTAAGATGGCCTGATCACTTACATGAACGAAGGAAGCCTGTTTTTGAAGCATTAGGAAAATGAAGATGCATGTAGGTACATATAACAAATTCACATCGGTCATTGACTTAACATCATGCACCCTTCTTTCACTTGACATGTAACCCACTTCGCAGGCATCTGTCACATGGTGGTGTGGCTTTACTCTGCCTCATGCGCTTGCTCTAGAAAAATGGTCATATTTCCCCACCTTCTGCATGCTCATACCAGGTAATTAATGACGTGGAGAAAGCACCTAAAGAGCAGCGAAAAGACCTTTTGAAACGCAAGAAAGAGGAACTTGCACAATGGCAGCACACTCAGGTAACAGCATATGCTTTGTGCTACTAAATCCAGAGAAGCCATCTAACATTTTTCTGATTCTGTAGTGGCCAATAAACATGTCTGTCCACTAACATTGTCATGTCCAACTAATCCAACTGATTCTTAATCACTAAACAACATGTGCCATACTAGATTACTAGATAAAAAATACAACACCTGCAAGAGGAATGGTATGGTTTGGTATTTTCCTTCAAGTCACAGGTTTGCCTTCTCATAGTTGAAACCAAAGTCCTGAATCTTTTCACAGGTAACTGGTATTGTTTACTAAAGCACAATAGTAACTTATAGTAATCTTTGTGTTATTGAATGTGTCACAAACTTACACTTTTGAATTAATGAAGTGTTCTTTTGGCATGTTTCTGGTATTGCTGGATTTGATCTTTTGGTAATAATGGTAAATGCAGGGATGGGTATTTTGGTGCCATTATCAAAATGGGGAAAAATATGAATTCAATAGGCAATGGCTCCAGTGACTGGATCATTGATAATGTGCTTCAAGATCCCTGAGACATTTGATGAGGCTGATCGGTGGGTATTAATGTGGTCCTGCCATGGTAGAAATTAGTCACTTTGTTCCCTTCTTCTCAATACCTTCTGGGGTGGGAGCGGGCATAAACTATCTTGCCCCATCTTGCAGTATGCTGAGAAATTTGAGAAAACACTCTAATTTCCTTCCAATATTCAATCACTTCCTCTGACTCGGGAAGTAGGGCAGAAATGTCAACAGGTAAGCTCTGGCGTTGGTGCAAAGGAGCCAATAATTAATTGGGTATTTCCACTGTGGTGCTTTTTATTGTCTAGACCTTCCAATGCACATATGGCAAATTCCTACAGTTTTCTGTACTTGCTGACCCTTAGTTGAGCACCCTAGGTGCTACAACTTTGTATTGCATCCACTTACCCTCTCTAAAGGATAAATGTCATCTGTTGCTTTTAGTCTGCCTCTCATGTTGTGGCTGTATTGTATTCTGATCTGCAGGGTGTTGCCCAGGTTATGATTCAATCTTTTCAGTTGTCATCATGCACTCTATTCAACGCCCAAATGCAGGATGTAAGTCTTCTGCTTGAGCAATGCTGTTTTTAGGTTTGCAGTTTGACTCTCGCATGTGTGTGTTCAGTTAGGATCATGGGGAATTTTCTAGGGCAGCTGTTGCTAAGGGAAAGAATTGTGTTCAGTGACTTCAAAATACAATTCTTGGGGTTTAATATTGTTTTTTTACTGTTGCACCATCTTTTTCAGTGCAGCAGTTCTTTTAAAGTCTCCATCCAAACAAAAAAATATAGTTAAATCACCTGTGTAAATAACAGATTCATAGCATTCTGTTACGAAATGTGGCTGTCTATAAAGCCTGGTACACGTGCTGAATAGCAGCCAATTCCTGTTGAATTTGGCCCTTGTGTACAGCAGCCTGTCAGACAGAAGCCATCTGAACATTCGACTTCTGACGAAGGGGCATGCTAGAAAAACATCTGCCGGTTTACATCCGATCAGCCATTAGCTGCAAGCGCTGATTGGTGTGTTCTGGTGGGCAGGTGGGCAGTCCCCCTGATAGAACACAATAACTCTCTCATAGTACAGAGACCTCCTTGTGCGCCCCCCCCCCCCCCCCCCCCCCCTTTTTTTTTGTTCTGCCTGCTGGGCTGAACGGAAAAAATAAACTCATAGTGTGTGCCAGGCTTAAGGCTTCCTTAAGACGTTTGCTTTTTAGGCAGGTGATTTATACTCTACCCAAATTAGTTTAGATCTTTGGGTGGAGATAACCATGAAGTCTGCTCCTGTCCCTTCATCTTTGTATTTTTTTACGTCTATTCAACAGACTTGTGAGACTGGATTCCCAACAATTGCTGTGGCGATATATAGCATGTGTTGAAATATTAATTAAATGGGAAGGTCTGATCTTAAAAAAACAAAACCTAAGAAATCATGAGGCTTCTTTTCCTTGCTGATGCTTGGGTAGAGCATATGTACAAAATATGTTCTCATCATTCATAAAGTAGGTAAAATGTTAATGAGATGTATTAAGTAATAACGTTTAGTTTACAATATTTCCTAACAAAATCCCTTTCGGATATACTGTACATATTTTCATGCTACTGATTTGGCACACTTATTTCCCAGCATTGTTACAAGTTCATAATTTTGAGCATTCCCCAGAATAATAATTTGGCACCCAACAAGCTTTCTGAGTAGGAGCTATAATAAAATCTGCTTGGGTGAATTATTCATGCTGGTGCTATAAAGGAATTGCATTTACTTAATATTGTCATGCTACGTAGTGCAATGCGTGGGGTGGATCTTTTGAGAGCAGCTAGCTTGGTTCTTGGTTCGTAATTATTCTGGTCTGACATTTCTGCTGATTAGACGTCATGCTGGTAAAGTCAGTGCTATTGTTTGTTTCCTTTCCATTCACTTAAATATTAAACATTTTTATATAAAAATAGATTAAATGGATTTACATTTGCTGTGCATTTCTGTTTGCTTTTAAAATACTTTGTTCTTTCTTGTAAAAGGTAACAAAACTCTTTAAGATATTAATCTATCCTTGAGGTCTATGCAGTGCTCTAAGCTTAGTCACTGAGAAATGTGTTCCACTTTGTCATGAATGCTTGCAGTGATTAACATGTACCAATGAATGTACATAAATGCAGAGCAAGATAAAGCAGAGCTGCTGTCAATAGCAAGGTTCGATCTGTTGCATTAGCACTGCAGGCAAGATTGTACTCCTGCTTGGTTGTTATGCTGGGGAGTCCTATTTTACCTTTTTTCTCTAAATTCTTGAAATGGCTCAGAATTAATTTGAATACTGCAGCATTTTAACCAACATATTCAAAATTAATATTCCTGTCCAGTGATCAAAATACAGGTACTAAATTTGAGAGATTACAAATTCAATTAGCCTTTTGATCTGCTGTCCCGATTAACATTTGACAGGCTTAGTACATAACTTGGAACTGCAATGCTTTATGACAGTGAATGGCAGTGTAATAGGGATTATATAGGAGTTATGACAGCAGCTGAAAATCACTTAACTGTATGTATGTCACGAGGTGGGACCCTTTAATCAGTGACTCTGTAGATGATTACTTTGTGTGAATTGACCTTGCTGTATGTGGATATATTTGAAGGTGTCCTATCTTTCTTGTGCTGGGTACTGTAGTGCTGTCCTTAACCACTTGCCGACCGCGCATAGCCGAATGACGGCTTCACCGCGGCCGGCCAGTTCTGAGTGGACGTCATATGACGTCCTCCCAGAACGCGCGCTCTCCTGCGCGCGCCCCAGGGGACGCGCACCCGGCGATCTCCGTGATCGCTGTGTCCTACGGACACAGCTGATCACGAGATGTGGTGAAAGGCCGATCCCACCGGCCTTTTACCACGTGATCAGCGGTGTTCAATGACACGCTGATCACAGGAAAATGCAAGTGCCGGTTCTCGGCTGCACTTTCCTCACGCTGTCAGATCGTGAGGAAAGTACTGCCGAGAACCGGCAGTTGTCAGAGCGGGGATCGGCACCGATCATCAGGGCACTGATGATCAGTGCCCTGATGATCGGTGCCCAGCAGTGACCCCCGCAAGTTCCGATCAGCTGTGCGCCCACTAGCCCCGCCCACCCATTCCCAGCAGTGCCCCCACCTGTGCCCAGCAGTGCCCCCACCTGTGCCCAGCAGTGCCCCCACCTGTGCCACTCTGCAGTGCCACCTACCTGTGCCCAGCAGTGCCACCTACATGTGCCCACCTGTGCCCACCAGCGCCACCACCTGTGCCCACCAGTGCCACCCACCTGTGCCCACCCACCAGTGCTGTCCACCAGTGCCACCCACCAGTGCTGCCAGTCAGTGCCACCAGTCAGTGCCCAGGGGTTGTGCCAGTCAGTGCCGCCAGTCAGTGCCCAGAAGTGATGCCAGTCAGTGCCGTCTATCAGTAACCATCATCAGTGCCGCCTATCAGTGCCGCCTATCAGTGCTGCATATCAGTGCCCCCTAATTAGTGCTGTCTATCAGTGCCGCCTATCCGTGCCACCTCATTAGTACTGCCTATCAGTGCCCTTTAGTGCTGCCTATCAGTGCCCATCAGTGCCGCCTATCAGTGCCCATCAGTGCCGCCTCATCAACGCAAATCAGTGAAGGAGAAAAAATACCTGTTTGAAAAATTTTATAAAAGAAACAAATAAACTTTTTTTTTTTTTTTCAAATTTTTTGCACTTTTTTTAATTTATAGCGCAAAAAGTAAAGCGCCCAGTGGCGATTAAATACCACCAAAAGAAAGCTCTATTTGTGAGAAAAAAAATGATCAAAATTTCATATGGGTACAATGTTGCATGACCACGCAATTGTCAATCAAAGTGCGGCAGCGCTGAAAGCTGAAAATTGGCCTGGTAAGGAAGGGGGTATAAGTGCCTGGTAGGCAAGTGGTTAAGAATGTGATGTAGTCAGTGGGAATACTAAAATCCTTTAAATGTTCACAAACGCCAACATAATATAGAAATACTCACAATTTACCAAATTGTTTGTCTGAGTTTGATGTATTTCCAATTTATGCTGATTTTTAAGAGTAACTGTTGCTATGACATAAGCAGTAGTTTTGAGATGTGTGTGTACAGCACATGTGCTAATTGCATTGGTTAAATACATTTCAGAAACCCCTGACTGATAACTGATTGTGGCTCTCTGTAAAATAGTTCTGGAAGTAACTTTAAAAATGCCTTGATAGGAACAAGAGTTTGTAATGAAGCAGCAACAGGAGTTGGATGGATCCCTGAAGAAGATTATTCACCACCCAGCAGAAGATGGAGCTGGCCAACATAGAGCGAGAGTGCTTGAATCATAAGCAGCAGCTCCTGAGAGGTACATATCATACAGATCAATAAAATACACCCTACAACCTGACAATAATCTAGACCTTTCATTACCTGTCATTTTGGTCTGAATGTTAAAAATGTTTGTTACAGCACGGGAAGCTGCAATTTGGGAGCTTGAAGAACGTCATCTGCAAGAAAAGCACCAGCTGCTGAAACAGCAACTAAAGGATCAGTATTTCATGCAGAGACACCAACTACTGAAAAGACACGAGAAGGTATAGCATATCTATGAAACTCAAATGCTACAATTGTATTACCATGTAGCTTTAGGGATACAAATAAACAGGTAACCCAATTACTGGACAGTTTATAAAATACGTCAAATCTTATGATTAGTCTACTGGATTCCCCCCTCTCTTTTTTTACCCACTTTCCACAAACAGATGGTCAGCTGGGGTTATCTCCAGCAGTCTGAGGACACCAATAGCTTTTGAAATCAAGTCCTGAGCCCTTAGCTGAGATGATAGCCTGTGTTGCTAAATAGTTTGGATCAGTTGTTGTCTTCTGCAACATGTGGCTCTTGACTACATTTAGTGGAGCTATCATCTGTCTCAAAGAAAATACTTAGTGAATGCTTTAAAGTGATTGCAAAGCTTATTTTTTTAATTTTCTTAAAATATACATGTTATACAATACCTGCTTCTGTTTTTGCACATAGAAGACCCAATCCGCTTCTTCTGGGTTTCCCCCTCCAGCGCTCCAGGCTCCCCCGGCGTGTTCCCTTGTAGCGAGCTGCTTGCTATGGGGGCATTCATACATGCTCGCTCCTGCTGCTGTATCTGAGCCACTGAGCGAGGGAGCCTCGGATTTGTGCACATCGATGGAACAGATCGGGCTCAGGTATGTATTTAGTGGGGGCTGCAGGGGAGCAGCACACAGAAGGTTTTAAACCACTTTAGGAGGGCCATTAGAAACATCATAGCTTAGAACAATTGGGACGCTGTGAAGTGCTGGAGTGAATGACCAGACTGATGAATGAAATTTCAAAGGAACTCCTTTTCACATATGCATTTCTGCAGGTTAGAGAACCTTAGAGCAGCTGGCTGCTGACTGTTTCACACATATGTCAGCCAGGTTGGAGAGAAGATTGTTGTGCTGCTATTGATGGCTTGCTACCCATCCTTTTGTGACATCTGCCTATCTGTGACCTGCTTAAGGCTGTTATAGGAATCTGGCATTTTTTTTCAATGCCTCTAAATGCAGTTCTGTGTTAGCTGATGTCGCCATGCACAGCAGGTGTTTAGATCATTTTTGAAGAGCAGCATTTAGAGGCATACAAATTGCACCAAAGCTGCATTCAGAGAGGAGCTCATGAGCATAATAAGAGCTTAAATGCATTCTAATGACCAGAATATAGAATTTATGCTTAGTTCCTAGATTGTAAGCTCCAAGGAGCAGGTCCCTCCTATCCCTCTTGTATTGAACTGTATTGTTGCTGTATTGTCTGCTATTATATTGTAAAGTGCTGAGCAAACTGTTGGCGCTATATAAATCCTGTATAATAATTAATAATAGTGACATACACAACAATAGTGCCATATTTTCAGCCAAGTTCTGGCAGAAAAAAAATCCGGCATATTTGGAGCATAAATTCTTAGCCCATTTGCATGAGGCCTAACTGAACATTTGCTACATTACATCCCCAGCATGTGTGAAGTCATGCATATTTAAAATGTATGGGTTGCCAAACGTTAAATAATTTAATTATATATTATTATTTATTTAATTTAATGTTGTCAAATAAAGGTCTTTTTTTTACTGTCAAAAATGGGTGAGCTGACAGAGGGTAGGGACAATAATGTGATATTGTAACATTTATCCCTGCCAAGCTCAATATGCTGGGTTTTGTTACTGCTTGCTACTCCTGTAGAAATAAGAACTTTTTAAAGCTGAAGTTTAGCTTAAATAAAAACTCCTCACAGCTTTAGTCGCATTGCTTACCTGAATGAAGGATGGCTCAAGTTGTTCAGGCAGCTGGGTGTAGGAAGAATCTTCACCTCAAGGATGTGCAGTCCTCTTCCTGTCAGAGCTATAGGCAGAACACAGGTGAACACGCCCCCTCCTTTGTCCTCTTCTATTGAGAAAAGTGTTTTCACTGATTACACTGCTTGTAACATGATCTGTGAATGGGGAGAGAGTCTGATCAGTCATAGGATACTCTCTCCCATTTACAGATTGTGTTACAAGTAATGTAAACCGTGAAAGAACTTTTCTACAAGAGAGGAGGAAGGAGGGGGCATGTCCCCGTTGGACCATTTGTACTGCTGTTCTGTCAGAAGTCCTAAAGCTATAAGCCATTGCAGCACTGGAAGTTCAGAGAAGCACATTCATCCCTGTAGTGAAATATTCTCCGGGATCCAGCTGGCCTGCACAGCTTAGGACATACATCATTGCAGGTAGGTTATGTGACTAAAGCTGTTGGGATCTTTTTTATTTAAGCTCATTTTCTGCTTCAATCACTTAAACCTTATTATGAAATTTCAGTTCATAGGTTATTTTCTTACTAGTAATGAGTGGTCAGTCTGGGCACGTATCCTTAAAGTGGTTCTAAAGGATTAAGGGTTTTTACCTTCATGCATTCTATGCATGAAGGTAAAAAGAAAAAACCTTCTGTATGTAGTGGCCCCCCAGCCCCTCTAATACTCACCTGAGCCCGATCTCGGTCCAGCGATGTGCACAGGAGACGCGCCTTTCCCTTCTCATTGGCTGAGAGACAGCAGAAGGAGCCATTGGCTCCTACTACTGTCAGTCACAGCCTGTGAGGAGGGAGCTAGGGATCGGGCCCAAGTCCCTCTCTGCTGTGTCTTATGGATGCAGAGAGCGGGGCTCAGGAGCAAGCACATACCAGTGCCCCAAAGCAAGCAAATTACTATTAGGGCACTGCTCAGGCGGGAGGAGCCAGAAGTGCCAGCGGGGAATCTGAGAAGAGAAGGATCAGGGCTGCTGTATGCAAAACCATTGCACAGAGGAGGTAAGTATAACATGTTTGTTATTTTAAAATTATTTTTAAAAAGCCTTTAGTATCTCTTTAATGTTGTACATCCCAGGATGCACGTGTCTGGAGTCCAGAGATTCAAATGTAAAAGCTTTCTTTCCTACACCCTCTAAGTGTGTATATTTGGTCCTGTTGTAGCTCTGATGACTTGTAGATTGTTCATGTCTTTCTAAACTGGTGTAAAACTACAACTTCGGGCAAGCCGTGCAATGCAAAACTTAAATATTATGTACAAGACAGAGTATCAGGGCATTTCTGCCCATATAATTTAACAGCAGATGGAAAGCCACAGGTTGGAAAAGGTTAACACAACACCAACTCTATGAACAATATCACAAAGCATGATAAGAATCCACAGAATATCTGCTACACCCTTTATACTTTAACTGCTGTCAGTTTTAATATAGCCATGCTTTTTGTCCTGCCAACTACCCACTTGTGAGAACTTGTAGCTGCAGAGCCAAAACAAGGGTACAGGAAATTAGTAGAAACATAGTGAACCTGACAATCCATGTAATTGAGGCTGAACTTCAAGCAGATTTAATACAATAATATAGTTTTGTGTTAATAAAACATTTTTAAAGGGCAGATTTACCTTTTAAAAAAAAAAACTCTCTATAGCCCCCCTTACCTAACTTAAGCTAGACCCTCCTGCTCAGGTGTTTACTTACCTTTATGTAATTATGGTGGCCCCTTACAAGGTTACCACCTCTGTGTGGAAATCTTCTCTGGTGCTGCTTAGTAACCTCATTTGGACTCAAATAGGGCTGCATACCGTATTAGGTGTAGAACTTCAACGCATCCATATAATTGGTGAGTTAATGCACAGTCATTTCCAGAAAGGATTTCTGCAATAAGGCTGTACATTTTCCAGGAAGGTTCTAACTTACAGGGGGCAAGGAGGGTTGAAGTACAGCAAAGAAAAGTAATTGTACAGATGTGGTGGACTTAAAAACTTATCAGGTTAGCTCGTAGTACTAAAGCCTCAAATAACGTGTTCTTAGATTATATTACTTTTTGGGGTGACTTTTGAATCTGTCTGCTTTTCGTTAGAGGTGGTTATCTAGGATCATATTCTACTTATTATGTTGTCATCTGCAGGAAATGGAGCAAATGCAAAGATATAACCAGCGACTAATAGAAGAACTAAAAAATAAGCAAACTCAGGAGAGGGCACGGCTGCCAAAAATTCAACGAAGTGATGCCAAGACTCGTATGGCTATGTTTAAGAAAAGTCTGAGGATTAATTCATCTGGATCTCCAGAGCAGGACAGGGAGAAGATTAAACAGGTAAAGCTGTTTGCACATTGTTAGTTGTCTGTGAAACCAGGAGTCACTACTAGGGACATTTTAAGAATATATTGACACTTCTATGACAGAACCAGGCAATACAAGTGATTCCCTCAACTGAGAAGCATCTGACTTGCCTATGGTTAATCATGAGCCCTTCAGAGGTGCTCTTATTGCACATTTTCTAATATGTTGGAAAATCACTCTGTGAGGAGATTGGTTTGTTTTTCCCAATTCTATGGAGTAAAGAGAAGTTGAAAAGTACTGAGTATGCTCCTTCAGCCCTGAGTCATTGCCCTGGACCCAGTCAATAAAGGATGGGCAGATTGCAACGATACTGTTTTTTCCAGATATTCTTTGTTGGTGTTTTTACTGGCCTTCATTTTATGTGCAATAAGGGCAAATGTAAGTTTACTTTTCTTTATTGTCTATATTTACATAGAATTTCATATTGTAAAAGTCCCACAATAGATGTATTAGGGGCAGTTTGGGGAGAATCCAACTAACCTACCAGTTTTTGTTTGGGTTATGGAATAAACTGTAGGTTTTCTCTGTGTGCATCTCCTTTGGGTAACACAAACACATTGCAGATAGGATTCCTGAAGGAAAATGAGGACCTAGCCCAGGGGTCTCCAAACTTTCTAAACAAAGGGCCAGATTACTGTCCTTCAGACTTTAGGGGGGGGGCCAGACTGTGGCCAGTGGGAGTAGAAAATGCCCCAGTGTCATTGGAAATAAACCATGCATCAGGCTTGGTTGCCAGTGGAAGTAACATTTCTCTCCTAAGAAAATTACCTAGCACGTGGTCATTAGGTGGAGGAATAGAGCCTCACCATTGATATTGATGAGAAGAATAGTGCCCTGTCATTGGTGTCAGTGGAAGAAATTGTGCCTCATCATTGATGCCAGTGGGAGGAATAATGAACTATTGGTGTCAGTGGAAGGAATAGTGCCCCATCACTGATGTCAGTGGGAGGAATAGTGCCCCATCATTGGTATTAGTGGGAGCAATAGTGCCTCATCATTGGCATCAGTGGCAGAAATAATGCCACATCGCTGGTGTCAGAGGGAGGCACACTTCCCCATAGTTAGTGTCAGTTTGTAGGAATAGTGCCCCATCGTTGGTGTCAGTGGGAGAATTCGTGCCCCAAGGGCCTCATCAAGGCCTGCAAAGGGCCGCGTCTAGCCTGTTGTCCACAGTTTGGAGACCACTGACCTAACTTCTAGTTTGCAAGGCCTGACATAAACCACCATTCTGCTTATTTTTTCATTGTTTTTCTTCAGTGATGAAAGCATTAACTATCATTTGATGATTTTAGCTGTTGTACATGAACAATGAAGTTTATTAATGAAATTATGTTAATTTTAGCTCATTGTAATGTTAAAGTAATTTCTAAGGTCCTAAATATTTTTTAAAAAATATTTTTCCTAATATTTCTAGTTTGCCGTCCAAGAAGACAAGCGACAAAAGAACGAGAGATTGGCTCAACACCAGAAACATGAAAACCAAATGCGAGATTTGCAGCTTCAATGTGATGCCAACATCCGGGAGCTGCAACAGCTACAGGTTAGAACTATGTACTGGGAATCTCTGGTGTAGGTCTTGCCTGATGATTAACGGCAGCAGGGCACATAGTGGTATATCCCTATAAATGAGCAATATAGATTGGGGGATAGAATGACGTTTACTTGTTTTTATTGACAGCTAGTAGGTAAAAATCAAAATTGAAGGTGGAGTATACCTGAGACTTTCCTGTATCAGCACAGATCTGATCATTGGAGGAGAACAGGCACATTTCTAAGTGCAGCCAGAAAACTGATCATGCTGTGCTCTCATGCCTAGTATGGTCAGTTTTTAATAAAAGAGCAAAGTAACTGGCAAGAACACCAATGATTTCACACAAAGAACGCAATACAAAGAGAACAGGATACGTTTTCTTACATGTATATGGTGCAACAGGCACATATTAGGAATATGAAATTTTGGGTTGATATATTTTAAAGGGCTTGTGAGGGTAGCCTCAGTTTGATATCCGCTTAAGATACTTCTGAGATCATTCAGAATTAATTTAAAGGTGCATTTGCCCTGCTTCCAGTGGATATTTCATTCCCAATGACTTGTATGGGGAATGTAAAACACATCTGAAGATTTAAAGTTTTTTTGGAAAAGGCCCTAATTAAGATACTTGTGATTCAGCCGTTCTACTGTGCTTTATGGGCAGCTCAGCTTAGGGAAGGTGACAGCACTTTTCAGGCTGCTGATATGGGGACTCCATGTCATGCCCTGGCCTTATAACTTTTCTTTAGACTACTTCTGAAAGTCACCCACCATAAACTCTTCCTTTCTATAAACCAACTTTGTATCTTCTCTTCACACATTTGTTTGCACAGCTAACATTTAAACATATTCAAACATTTAGCCACTATGTCACAACTAACTGTAGAGATCAATTTCAGGTCATCAGTGTAGATGACCTAAACATTATTTCATGGGTGCTGAAGAAACACACAAGTGAGCTAACTGATGTTTTTGACATAAAAAGCTAGTTATTAAAGGAAATTTATAGTAATTTTGTATGCTTTTTACATGTGCTCAGGGCTAAAAATAGGAAATTCTGCTTCGGGGCAGGAAGCAACTTGTGTTAAATGCTTATTTGAATAATAAAGATTTTATGGAACAATAAGAATTTTATATAAAAGATTAATTTAGGAAACTAGAAAAGCTACAATTTCTGGGGAAATTGTGTGACATGTTCTTGCCTCCACCGGTAGTCTACAACTGGAGTGGGCGGAGTAACTGGGTGGAGTGGCTGGGTGAGTAACTTGTGTGGTTGGAGTGGCTGGAGTAACTGTGAAAAGGTTGGACTGGGCAGAGTAACTTTATGGAGTGGGCAGAGTAACTGTGTGGAGTGTTTGGAGTGAGTAAAGATAGTAAACATTACACTAACCAATTGAATGATCAAATTTAAAAAGTGCACATGGCAAGCTTGATAGAGTGAGAAATGCATTTCAACTTTTATTTTTCAGCTCACACTCTAGCTTTTGTCACTTTGCTGCCTGCTCACACACCTGGGTTCCTATGGCAACTCACTCTACAGCAAGGGCAGAGAAGAGCTTTTAAAAACAAACTGCTCCAACTTGCTCACTTCACTGGTGGTTGCCATCTTCAAACAGTTGTAGTTTAAAAATTATAAATCCTACACTGAATAGCTTTATATTGTGAGAATCACAAGACCCAGACCTACATTTTGATGATAATATAGTATGTCTCTGAAATATTAAAAATGAAGGCACAGTCGCAGTTTAGAAATTGCCCTTCAAGTTTGAGGTGGCTAGAGTGGAGTTTCAATGAATGTCAATGGGCGGCGTGAGTTGCAAACAAATGGTCATATTGTGAAACCTATCAGGACTATGGCTTAGCCATGGACATTTGTAGTGGCAGCAGGGATAGCTGAACGTTTTGATATAAGATTTGTGTAGATGGGCCTGAAAATGAGGGAGTGATGTCAGTTTAGAAATCATGTCCTGATTTTTCAGCTCACACTCTAGCTTTTGTCAGCTCCTACTCTAGTTTTGAACATTCCGCCATTCATTCCTATAGGACCAATTTCACCACAAAAACGACGATATATCGTGAACCATTCGGCGAAACGTTCCACAAAGTAATAGCACACCAATCGGGAACAATCCGCACGTTTCGGTATATTACTGTCTATGTAGTGTAAAAACTGTGGGAGGAGTTAGGGTGGTAAATTTGGCTATAATAATAATATATATGTGAGATAACAGTAAGTGGTCTTACCATGCAAGAACACTTAATAAAATAAAAATGTACCAAAACCTTTATAATTATTATTTAAAGCATAGCCTCCTTACTGTGTAAAGTGTGTATTTTGTGGCTTAAATATAATTTTTGGTACTTTTTAGTTTAGCACCGTGTACCATGCTGCCTCTTTTATGCTATTAAACTATTGCCACTTGATTTCACATTTTAGAATGAAAAATGCCACCTATTAATAGAACATGAAACACAAAAGCTGAAGGAATTAGATGAAGAACATGCCCAAGAACTGAAAGACTGGAGGGAAAAACTAAGACCACGGAAAAAGGTAACGATCTGCTGCTCCAATAGGTGCAAACCTGACACATTACAGTGTTACTAATCCCAGGAGCCTGCATTCACTATATCTGGTCTCCCACTGTACACAGAACATGGAAATGCAATTATTTTAGTAAATATAAACTTCTAAATACCTTTTATCAGCAGTTAGAGCAGTCTTGTGACTTCTATCAGTGTCCAATAGAGCACTGGTTAAAGCTTGTAGGAGTTTTCATTCTCCCCTGATTGCCCATGAGGTTGCATAACCCCTGACCTCTGTCTGGTCAGTACTGATTGGCCCTGTGCTGATCACATGCACTCTCCCAAGAAAAAAAAAAAAACCCTTTAGCAATAAACACCAAACTGAGTATTAGCAGCTTGCACCCAAGGATCTGTTTTATCAGCAGATAGATTGGGGACAGTAGAAAAATGGGAGGATCAGAGAAGTCAGAATCAAACATCCTTTTTACACAATGCAGAGGATTAACTCCTTAGGTTCCACAGTGAGTATAACAAGCATGCTTTACTGCATATACAGACTGATTTTACTGTTGTGGGTTTAGTAACACTTTAACCACTAGCCTACCGGGCACTTATACCCCCTTCCTGCCCAGGCCAAGCTTTGTTTCTATTATACAATTTTGCAAACAGGTAATTTTTCTCCTTCACTGCATTGATGAGACAGCACTGATGAACTGGCACTGATGCTGCACTGATAGGCGGCACTGTTGGGCAGCACTGCTGGGTGGTACTGATGGAGGGCACTGGTGGGTGGCACTACTGGGCACAGGTGGGTGGCACCGATGGCACATGGGTGATGGGTGGGACACTGCTGGGCACAGGTGGGTTCTGGGCACTGATCATCAGGTCACTGATCATCAGGTCACTGATCATCAGTGCGATCTGTTTTCTGACAATTGCCGGTTATCGGCAGTACAGCGTAAGGAAAGTGCAGCTGACAACCGGCAACTGCATTTACCCAGTGATCTGCTGTGTCATTGGACACAGCAGATCACGTGGTAAAAGGCTACTGTGATTGGCCTTTTACCACATCACGTGATCAGCTGTGTTTGTAGGACACAGCGATCATGGAGATTGCTGGGTGCGTGTCGCTGGGGGCATTCTGGGAGGGGGCATTCTGGGAGGACGTCATATGTCAAGTGGTTAATTTGCCAGGTTATTTTCTGCTAGTATTATCTGTTATACTCAGATTCAGGAGTTACGTGCAGCACGTGCTTGCTCTCTTAAAGTGGTACTAAAGGCAAAATAAAAAATGACACATATGATGCAGTCTGTCACTAGCATTAAAGTGGAACTTTAGGTAAAAAAAATAAATGTTTGGATAGTCAGGATTTTTAATGCAGAAGAGACATGCTTTTTCTGTTCTGCATTAAAGCTACCTATCTGCCTGTCCACCCCTGTACAGTGAGTCATGCAGGCGCAGCTCAATATAAAAATTTGGCAATACCGAGTTTGATGGAACTGCCGCGCATGTGCACGAGTGACGTCACCCCCGGCCCGTCCAATGACAGATGTCAGCAGCCAGGCAGGGATCTCCGGCACAGCGCATCGTGGGATTGGAGGTGAGTATAATTCCAGTTTAACAAAGCATTCATTGTTTTTTTTGGTCCCCTGTAACTTAGTTTATTACCCGTTAATCATGCTGTTATTAGTCAACTTCCTTTAACAAACCAAACTATGCAGCAAAAGTGGAGGATTGAAACAAACTATGTAGCATTAACAGGGTTGTTTACAATGGTCATTTTTTTATTCATTTATCCCAAAGGAAAAATAAATGGTTTCTGCACCTGCTTAAAAGGTGCTAGCTGGAGATTGGTTGTACTTTGTTAATCACTTATGTAAAGTCCATCTAAATCTGTTGGTCCATCTAACACTACCCTATCCAAACAGTGTTTCTGTCCAAGGGTGTCTCCATTGCTCCTCCACAGATAAACGAGACATCCTAACACAGCAAGTGTGTTATTGGCCTGATTACCAGGTGAAATGCAGCCACCACATTGAAGGAATGCTAAGCTGCAATATATTACATTTTAGTTTTTGGATTTAGATGTGCTTTAATCGCTCTGTGATTAGCAGGAGGCACACATTCTCACTCACTGATTTAGCAGGCAATCTCGCTCGCTCTTTCTCTCTCTTTCAAGAGGGAAGATGGAGATGGGAGAGCAGCTTATTGTAAATTCTAGCAATGTGTCCTAATATGTTAAAGGCCTAATTGAAAAGCCCAGTGTTTTCATTAAACTACTGAAAACACGCAGCAGAATGAAGTAAAAGGAAGAACCCCCTCCCTCTTTCTTCTGGCTCATGTGAGCAAGTAAGAATTTCTGTCTAGAGAGCGGCAGTTGGGGGGGAAGCATGTTTTACATCCTAAAAAAATACGGAAGCTCCCTGCTTTAAATGTTTGTTTAAATTAAAGATTATATACACATAATGAAATATAAATGTATAAAAGATTTACAAGGTTTATGAAACCCACAAACATTAAAAAAATAGACCAAATTTCACTTAAAAGACTAACTCCAGAAATTTTTATTTTTTTTTGGTTTTGGGTGTCGTGGGAAAGAGTTGTTTTTAAGAGTTGAGAGGGACCCCACTGGAAATATTTCCCTCACTTCCTGTCCCTGTGATACCAGTACAGAAAATAGGGTGAGCGGTTGTCATTGGGACCAGGAGGTACAGAATGCAATAACAGACCTCCTAATACCTTTTTTTTTCTGTCTGTGTTTTCTCAGAGAGTTTTTTAATTGCTACATATCTTAAAAGGAAGTGAAGAGAAATCACCTGGCAAATAGTTGTGAGTTGAACAAAATACTTAGGGCTGGTTCACACCTGAATCACACAGGAATGCTGTCTGGGTTCCTGTGTGATTGCAGTGTGATTTTCAGCCTATACATTTGAATGGGCTAAAATCGCTCTGGATTGCACCGAAAGTAATGCATTCACTAATTTTAAAAAACGCACTACGTTTGCGATCTGTGTGTGGGGTGCCACCCTCAATATATTGCACACCTACTGCATTTTTAATGCTGTGTGGGAATTGCGCATGGAAGGCGGGTTTCCAGCATTGAGTTCCAGTGTGAATAAGCCCTTAAGTAAACCGTAGTAATAATATTTGTATTTGTGAAATGTGTTTTTTCTGTTCTTGCAATATTTTCTGAAAAATAATATGATGATTATTCATTTGTAGGCACTTGAAGAAGAGTTTGCAAGAAAACTTCAAGAGCAAGAAATGTTTTTTAAAATGTCCGGAGAGTCGGAATGCCTTAACCCTACAACACAGAGCCGGATTTCTAAATTCTATCCTATCCCAAGCATGCATTCTACTGGCTCTTAACTATGTTCTTTTTAGAGATTGTTTTTTTATATACTTCTACCGCAGCCATGTCACTTTTGGAACTTTTTTAAATAAGCATGGATAGATTTTTTTTTTTTTTGCGTAAGAATCTGTTTTAAGGCTGATTTTTTTTTTTTTTTTTTTTTTTTTTGTTTTATAAAGTATACAGTATATATAAAAATGATATAACCTAAATTAAATCTACTTTATTGTTTTGTACAGCTAGGACGCAAAATCCTGTGAAGGCCACTATGCTGTTTGCTTGTGTTGATGCAGAAACAATTTGGACATATTTTGTATTATATTTAATATGCAAGAAGGTAAACTTTATAGTGTATCTTCACAGAGTACGCAGCTATATTATCCAGTCCTTGAATCTGGTTAGTCAGCTTTTAACGGATTAGGGATAATATTTAGCTTGTCATTAGGATTTTTCCAAATGATTTTAACTTTCAGTTAATTGCGTGAATCTCTGATATCCACATTTTCAAAAAGGTTGGTTTGTTGCCCACAGCATCCACTTGATTGCTGTGGAAAATATACTTTCCTTGAAGACGTATTTAATACAAGATTTTATTTATATTTCCACTTATACTGTATTTGTAAAGCAGTTGACTGCTGATATCAGTACTTTTTTGCTGGAAGGCACTAACACTGTAATGTGCCGTTATAGAAACGCAATGCAGCAGTTAGGCGTCGTGCAGACTGTCTAGTCAGTTGTACTTGGATCTCTATGTTGTTGCTCCTAGCCACAAGTTTCAAACTCTGTGATACAAACCTACTCTTGGTACCTAAAAGTTTTACTCTGAGGACTGTAACAACTAAGCTAACATTTGGGACACTTATTTAAATGTGGAAGCCATTATTCTCAATAAGACCTGCTAGGCCTCATTTTTGAAAACTGGTTCTAACGATGGTAGTAGTACCTATGATAATACATTTATGTGTAGGGTCTATTTTTAACAGCATTGTGCAAAGAGCAATGGTGATACACATGTCCAAAGCAACTAATGAAAACTCATATTTCATAAGGCTGTTGACACAGATGTTTGTGAAAGACGATTATGTTGCGTAGGTTTAGGGTGCATTCACACCTGCGAATGCACCTTGCCTCCGATTGGGTGCCCTCGATAAGCTGCGAGAAGCTTTGCATTGAAGGCAATGGACGGTTCCCAGCGCTTGCAGTTAATCGCACCCACTTGCATGTATAATCACTCATTCAGCGTTCACATGTGAGTAATTAGTTCTGGACTCAGACAGCCTGCATACAGGGTGATCACTCACATGTGATTGCTGCATGAGTGATTGCATGCGAGTGGCTGCGATTAGGTGTGGGATCCGGCAGTCTCCCATTGCTTTCGATAGGGCTGCCTCTCGCAGGTAATTGTGGGAAGCCCTGCAAGGGTTCTCGCATCCAATCGCGGAGGCAGGATGCATTCACAGGTGTGACTGCACCCTTACTATGTGCCACTATTATCCACTTTGTGCTATTAATTACGATCCTATTATTTTCTAAAGTAAGTTGGAAATAGTATCTGGTCTCTTCGGGTAACACTGTCTTCATCTGTTTGCATCTTGAGGAAACTGGGCACATAGTGTTGATGCTATAGCCTACAGCAGCCAACCAGACCCCCCCCCCCCCTTTTTTTAGCTGATGGTAATTAATCTGAATGCTATAGGTTAACACGCATTGTTATTGATTTAGTTTCGGTAATTTGAAGAGGTTTGTTTAGAAAACTTCAAAGCAGTCTGTGCTTTACATTTTGAGCTAGAATTCCTTAAAAAATACATTAATTGACATTTTGATTTGAAATAATTGAGTGAGTTAAGGGGAGAAGTATTTTGTACACAGCTTCCAAAGGGAGCATTTTGTTTTATTCGCTTTGCTTCTATGAGAGCAAATTTAAAACAACGTATTTCAATGATTAAATGGGTATTTTTTCAAATTAACTCCCATAGACACACTTTTATGTCCAGACTGGGGCAGCTTCAGGGCTTTGGTTTAAGCCAAAGTATCTGCAGTGGGTTTGGAGTTTATACCGGCTGCATCTTTAGTTACGTGTTTTACTTGTTTAACCACCAAAATGCCCATTTGCAAAGCACTCATCATTTTTTGCACTAAAAGCTAACTGCAAGCACATTAGAACAACACCCATAACCATATTTGTTGTTACTTTTATCTTTTGAATTACATTGTTTTTTGTTTTTTTTTTGTTAATCAGTTAAGTTAGTCTTGTGATGACCTAATCCAGTAACTTACTAGGAGCCAGTGTATGCACACAGTCAGCCATTTTGTAAGCTACAATAATAATCTTTTTTTTTGGGGGGGGGTAAATAATTTATAGGAATATTTTCAAGTTCACAAACACGTTTAGCCCTAAAATCTACAACTCCTTTTTTGAAGTAAAACATTGGTGAGGCTTTCTTTTAGAAAATTGCTTTAATCTCTCATTCAAAGAGGAGGTAAAACGCATAGACAGTTAGTTTTGTCATAAAAATCACTGACTCTATTGTATGTGGTTGGTGAGCACAATTTAGCACACAACCCTCCATCAAGCAAAACCCACTCCCTCTTAAAACTGAATGCAATAGAAACCTATGCTGGAATTTTTTTAAGCAGAGTAGAGTTGAAACTATGTATTTAGTTTGCTGCATGTTACATTTTCCCCATTACATGTATTCAAGTTCAACAGTAATTACATTTTGTATTTCACCTGCGGTGGCTTTGATGACTTTATAACATATAAAATTATTATATAGTGAAGTTTGCGCTTGTATAATTTAAAGGGCAAGTTGTAATTTTTTTTTGGTATTAACTTTGTTGTCTTTGAGCAATTTATATATAATGTCTATTTACATTACATCCATAACCACTGCCAGTGGATTGGTGTGCCACTGAGAAATTCTGGCCTTGAAGATGTTTGTGAATCCAAGTCTTCCTGGCCCTTTTCAGAGTGTGAGCTGGACAGGATCCACACTGTACCTTAGGAAATTAAGGCCACCGCTATTTGGAGTCACATTAGTACATCATTCTCACCGCTAAGCGTGTACACAGGGATCGCTGAAAAAAACAGTTATGTGATATACAAAACGTAACAAGACACATCTGTAAAAAAGGTTTACTTATGTTTTATTATATCTACCCCCCCATATGTTATCTTTTTTATAAAGGCACATTTACACAATACATTAAGGCAAAACATTATTTTGTGTTAAGGCAGCCAATTAATGGGTATGTTTCCCTAAGGCATATTAAAAGACATTACATTTTTAGTACTGTGTTGGGGTGCCATTCAAAATTAATACCGCTACCACGACAATTGCATGTTGCCATAATGCGGCTGTGTGAATGGGTCCTAAACAATTCTAAATATATATATATATACATAAATATTTCGACTGTTTACAGAGAATGGAAGCTGCCATGATAGGGTTAAAAACTGTTAACCATTGAATCCATTGGCAGGCTGCTTTTAGTGGTCACATGATGAAGACAACTCAAGGCATCTGCCTGGTTTTGGCAGACAACGGTTAGCATTTTCTGCAAAGTACAGTTCATAAACTAGCTTTCTATAAAAATTCAATTGTCTTCTATTGTAAGATGGGACTTTGAAATACTGCTCTACTAATCTCTAAAAATCGTCTATGTGGATTTTAGACAAGCAAAGATCACAGAGCAGTGGTGTTCAGTTCCACACAGTAACCAACCACCAAGCAGCTGTCATTTGGTTGACACCACTATATCAATGAAAGCTGGTGTCTGGTTGCGATGCCTTACTGCACACAATTTCTTCTTGAACTGTGGTCAGTCCATTGTGTGTTTTAATACAGCACATTATAAGACTTGAAACATTAATTTCCAGAAGCAGATAGCAATGTCTGCAGCAAGACGTTGTGGCAAGAATGATTACTGCAGTGTAACAAGAAGATAATGCAAAGTGTTACATTTTTTTAGGGTGCATCTCTCATGCAGCGATCACATGCAGATGATCAGCCCTGAACGCAGACTGCCTGTGATCGATGTGAATTCTTACGCTGAGGCGGGGTGTATTTTCAGGTGTGAATGCACCCTTAGCCCTAGTTCACAAAGGAAGTGTGACTTCAGGTGCCACTTGGAAGACATCTTTGCGGCTTCATGCACAGATGGCTATGCAAGTAGCACCTGAAATTGCAAAAAGTAGTGCAGGAACTACTTTCAAAATCGATGCAACTCTGACAGGGTCGGAGTTACACCGATTTGACCAGTCCCATTGCGGACAATAGGGTGTGACTCATGCTTTTTGAAACTAAATGACAGCATGACAAGTTGACAGCATGACAAGTTTCACCGGTGTGAACCAGGGCTTAATCATTGCTTGGCTTACTTTATCCATCCTTGAAAATGCATGCATCTTACAATGACTTGTAAAGCTATTGTATGCAGTTGTCACCACATGTGTATTACCTGCTATTGCTTCTTAGTGAAACATTGTATAGGTAAAAAAAAAAAAAAAAAAAAAAAACAACTCTTCATGGTGAGTGAATGATACAGAAATTAAAGTTACTTAATAAATAGAACTATTTACCCTTATATATTGTGTAATTGTCCCCTGAGAAGGGCAGTCTTTCATGCACGGCTGCATTTTCCACTAAAAAAACCATGAAAAACACATGGATAGTCCACTAGGTTGTGACAACTTCATAATGGCCTCCGTAGAGGTAGACATAACCATGGAGAAAATCTTGTCACTGAAGGCCCAAATGAAAGAAGTCAACACCTGATTTATCAACATACAAGTAATATTTGAGGTGGACATGGACTTTCAAGTAATGTTACCTTGTGTCTGTGACTCCAGTCATTTAGCCTGCTGTACTAAGTCCACCTGTTTTATTTCAAGGACATAACTGCATAACCAAGATACAGGCAAAACATGCAGAATCTGAACAGTTTAGACAGTTATTGCTGATAGTAAATTGCAAAACTTGATTGAGTACCACTGGCCATAGTTCCCTTTTCCTCT